TATGGTAAATTAAACATGTAAATAACATGTATACATCAATGGAAGATCATTTGTAACAATGCATAACCAAAATTGAGACATCCTCTGTGGAAATCATGGATATGCTAGTTTCCCACACAGCTTTTTTTTTTTTTTTTTTAAAAAGTGTTCAGCCTGCATAGCAAGTTATGGACCATTTCCACCAGACCTATCTAATATTGCAGCTGATGGACAGTTTCTCAAGGTGTTCTCTAATTAATTCTTTCTCATTGTTTTCTCATTTTTAAGTTCATAATGAAAAATAAATATGTGCTCATAACATGTTTTTTTCTCAGCGCTTTAAGATTAAAAAAACCCTGAGGATGAGATATTTTGTTTGTAAGAGTACCTTTTTAAGCCCCAATGATACCTTTGCTGTGGTAAGTCTCTAACAGATTTGCTGGTGGTGCTGTTATCCAAAGTTTTTTTCACTTTTTACCTTCCCAAGACAACAGTAAGTTGAGGCAATCAGATCAAATGCAGTTGGAAGCTCACACACCAGACCGACACGCCAGCGTTCAGAATGCTAACTTTCAGAGTGACATAAGAAGCAAAATCTGCTTCCTTAGCAAAGCCCCTGAGCAGCAGACTTCATAAAAAAAAAAAAAAAAAGTCCTCCAAACAAACCAATAAAAGAAGTAGGCTGTAACAGCAGGGAGGCAGCTGGACCACCTGGAGCACCTTTCCAATGGAACAGGGCGGCAGCCAACTGCGGTACACGCAGATGACCTACCGCACAAAATACCGTGCGAAACCATCTCTCCCCTTAAATCGCAGGGAAACCTCAGAGGAAAGTCACACGCTCCGTCCCAACGCTTTCTAGGCGGGACCGCACCAGGGCGGCTGCAGCCGAGCCCCGCCGCGCTGCCGTCCGCGCTCATGGCCCAGCGACGCTGCCTCTTCGCCCCGCACGCCTCCCGCGGCCGGGCCGGGCAGCAGGCGGCTCCTCAGCGGGACGGAGGAGAAGAGGGCGGGCAGCTGAGGCGCTGCCAGGAAGGCGGCGGGAGGCGGCAGGGGCCCCGCGGGCCCGGCAGCCGAACCCCGCAGCGGCCGTGGCCGTGTCCGGGCCCGGGGCGGGCCCGCGCGCAGCCCCCCGCGGCGCCCATTGGCCGCCGTGCCCCGCGGCCGCCGGCCCCGCCCCGCCCCGCCCGCTGCCCCGTCCGAGAGGCGGCCGGCCCACGCGCGCCCGCGATTGGCTGCGCGGGCCGCCCATCAGGCCGCTGGCGCCGCCTCTCGAGCGAGAGGGAAAACACCGAGGGACGCGACCAAGCACAAGATGGCGGCGCTGGCGGGCGGCCAAGTCCCAGGCGGGGCTGCTGCCGCCGCCATTAGGCCCCCCGTTCCCCTCCCCCCGGTGTATCCTTGTGTCAGGCTGCGAGAGGCGCGGGCGCGGCAGCAGGGAAGCGGCCGGTAAGATGGCGGCGGCCTCAGCCCCGTATGCAAAGTACCCGCCGCCCCCTCCCCTCCGCCCTCCCGGTGGCAAAGGTAAAAGGGTCGGGTTCAAGCCGCCGCCTCCGCCCGCTCAGACTCCATCTTCCCTCTCCGCGTCCGCGTCCCGCGCTCGTCATCTCCGCGACCGTCGCCCCCCCGGGCAGCGGACTGCTCTCACCGGGACCGGACCGGCTCCGACCTCAAGGGGCCCACATCCCGGCACAGCGGCTCCGCGCTGGAACACCCGCAACGGACCGGCCCCGAGCCGCGCAGACCGTCCCTCCCTCCCTCCCTCCCTCCTTCCCTCCCTCCCTCCGGCAGCTGTAGGCCTGCCTACGGCACCGCCGGCTGCCGCTCAGCAGCACGTTACCGAAGCCTTCGCGCCTCCCCTCCCCTCCGCCGCTCGCGGGGTGCCACGAGCAAGGTCCCGATGCCCCCCCCCCCGCCCCGGTCCGGACGGAAGCGGCCCCAGCGGCCCGGCTCGGTTCTAAAAAGCGAATTTTACCTCAGGAGCTGGCGCCAAACGTGCCCTGGCGGTGACCCGGACCCGGGCCCGGGCCCGGGCCCGGGCGGGCCTGCGTCGGGTGGAGGTGCCCGGCGGCGGCCCTCCCTCCCCCCGCGAGGGCGGCGGCGAGGGGCTGGCGGGGGGCAGTGAGGGGGGAGGAAGGGCCGGGGCCGTGCCACGGAGCGGGGGGCAGGGGGCGCTTTGTGTTACGGTGTTTGCCGGGCCCCTGTGAAAGGTCAGAGTTCGTGACCCCGCCCGCCGCCGCCGCCGCCCGAGAGCGTCTCCGCGCTTCCTCTTCCCAGCACCACGCCGGCCCCGGCCCCCTCCATCCTGCTGGCGGGGCGGGGCGGGGCCGGGACGGCGGCGGGGAGGGGCGGGGAGGGGCGGGGCTACCTGCGCCGCTGCCCGCGTTCGCGCCAACGCTGCGGCGGGCGGCGGGCGCGTTCGGCCCGGCGGCTGAGAGGGGCCGCGGGGTGCCTGGGGGGGGTCTGGGGGGGCTGCGGGGTGCCTGCGCCCGGGAGCGCCCGGGCTCCCTCTGGAACGGGGAACGGTAGCGCCTTGCTTAGGTGGAGCCCTTTCTGAGCCCTGGCAGCGCGGCTCTGCTGCGGCCTGGAGTTGTCTGGGGCAGTTGCTCTGTGCGAGGGTGGGTGTAAATATTCCACGTGTACGTGGGATATATATCTGCGATTTTACCGAAGACACTGAGTCAAAGGATTTGATGCTGACTTTTGTTAATGCTGCCTTCAGACCATTGTAAGTTCTTGTTTCATTTTGTAAGGTTGCTGTCATTGACTAGGGCTCACCCAGTAAAGCTGGCCGTGAGGATTGTTGTGCTTCTGAGTGTGTGATTATAGGGTGTTGTGAGGTGTTCTCACAACGAAAGTCCGCGGTGGTTTAAGAACTTACCGCCTTTAAGGGCTTGTCATCAATAGCCCTCTCCGAGGCTACTGAATATTGACTCATGGGCCCAGTTCTCTGTCATAATTGTGTCTAGCTGATTTTTAAGCTACACCTATCAAAATGGTCTAGCTTAATTTTAGTACTTCTAGGAAGTTTCTTTTGTGTCTGGTCATTTTGACAGAAGCTGACTTAAGCAGGGGTCAGAAAAACATTAAAGTGAAGATGTGAAATAACAGTAACTCTTGAAAGGAAATGTGTGGAAGAAAGAGAAGCTGGAAGCAATGATGACTTAAGCAGAAGATGCTATAGTCTGAATTGTTATAGCAAGCACCCTGATGTTAATTAGAACTGGCTATGTCTGATAGCCTTGGTGTCACATGACTGGAATTAATATTGTTAAGGCACATGATGTACAAACATCCTTGCAATAGATAAAGGAAAACATTTTGAAAAATGTCCTAGGTACCTATTTACTACTGTAATTTTAAATATTTTATACAAAGATTTTTCAAATTTTCAAAACACGGACATGTATGTACCGCCAAAAGCCGATTACTGAAAACACAGTTGCAGATTTTTTTCTACATAAAACATAGTTTTGAAGTGTAAATATTTATTTTTTCTTTTTTTAAACATACATGTAAAAATTTTCAAAATTCTCGTAATACCCTCATTTGTGAAGTAGGATAGATATTAGGGTATGACTTGTGGAACAGCCTCTATGACCACTTGTCTTTGAGAATTTTGGGGAAAAATGGCAATTTAATGCTTTAAACTGTGAGATGCTCATCTTTTGGGTGATGGTGTAGGCAAATTTAAAACAAATCCTTAGTTTTGCCTTCTATTTGCTATCTAAAATGTTTTTATCAGAATCATAATCAATTTTCCTCTTTTTTTTTTTTTCCCCATGTCACTTACGTTCATGGTTAGGTAGAAAAGTATTTCAGAGAATTTTATTACTGACTTGTCAGTACATTTTTTGATATGAATAGAATTCTTGTTGAAGCTAGTTTGAGATTTGCCTGAGGAAGAACTGAAAATATGAACAACTGATGGCCTCTCTTTGAAGGCCATCAAGTCCTGTCAAATACTCTTATGTAAATCTGAACAACTAAAGATCTGCAATATCCTTTCACTATATATTAATAATCTGTGGTAGCTTAAGAGAAAATGAAAACATTTGCTTCCTTAAACTGATATTTTAGGCTTTAAGGGATTTTTGTTGATAATACAGTATATATTGGCAACCAGATGGTTGCTGGGGCTAGCAAAACAAATGCTAGTCCTAGATTACGTATTAAAAAAAATAAATATATATAAACCTGAGGGAAAACAATAAAGCATTCTTTTTTTAGAATGAGCAAGAACCAAGATGCAATGCTGCCTGAGTATTCTTACAGTCTGTGGCATTTGCCTTTGAACTTCTCTGAAGTGATCCTGTAAGCGTAGTCAAATTTAGTTTAAAGTGGTAGAAGACAAACTGTCCACTGAGAGAAAGTACTCTACAAGGATATTGAGAAAGCAGGAGAACACAATGACTTCCCTCCATGCTGAAATGCTATGTTTATAACTGCCATCAGATTTGCATATTTTTCAGGAGTTTGAGTAGTTGTTGCTGTTTTCCTTTATCTAATTGACTATATCAGAGCTCACCTGATCCCTTTGTCTTGTGCTCCAGCCTGTTTGGTGGCCCTCTGTATGGTACTGAGGTCATTGCTTAGCTGTTCCTGGGTGCACATTTCAACTTGTACATGGTCTTTTTTTTATTTTGTTTCTGCGCTACAGCTTTCTGAAAATACAAGTGGACTGACCCATTTTTTAAATCGTGTTTGTCATCTAAAAATATTTGAGACAAGGGAAGCCAATTATATGGTACAACAAAGATTTATTTAATAGTAAGGAAGGTGTACAGCAGTTTCAAGATTTCTAAGGCAAAACAAATTCATGACATGCCAAAGATTAAGCTTTCCTTTAACATGGTTAAATGCTTTCAGAATTACCTTGGCTTGCCCTGTGGTGAAACAGATATAATTGGACACAGAAATGGTATATTAGGAATCTGAACCAAGTGTTGTGAACACTGATGGGCTTAGCAGACATTTTCTGAAGGCTATGCACTTTTTTTTTTCCTGGTTTACATCTTTTATTAATGGTCCGATGATTTTTTTACTTTTTTATTTTATTTTTTTTTTTAAGATCTTGCTTAGCAGTTAAGTCCCACACTGACTGCAGCTGTTAGGCTTGCCAGCATGCTGCATCTGGGTTTGGAGACATCAGAAGAAAGGCAAAAATATTCTAGATGGTGTGCAGAAACATGGAAAGTATCATGTACCTGATACCACAGTGTAGCATTTGAAGTGAATTCCTGTTTATAGGAAATTAATTTTTTTGTTCTCAGAAATCATTGGTGTTTATCATGTAGTGGCTGTAACTTAAAATGAAATTTTGCAGAGAATAATCTAGAAAGTTTTTCATTTTATTATTTAATTTCATATATTAAATTTTATTTTCATTTGTGAACATAGTATTTGTAAAAAGTAGCTTTAAGAAAAATATGCAACTGCTGTATATTGAGGTTTGTGAAAGGCAAGAGCAGTGCAAAATCCTAACCCTGCCCTAAAATTCACTTAAAGTGAGCTTTCAGTATGAAATATTTGTATCTGTTTAATAAGGGCTGTCATTGTTGATATAAAGTAATTCCACTTCCTCTGGTGTTCTTTAAGATCAAATTTGTCTGCTGCCAAGTACTACAGTTAATAATGTGGCGTATAGTATATGAAATGAAAATACAGACAAATACTAAACTGTCCTTCTAGTTTCTTTTAACTGAAAGAGGAGTGAGCAAAACGACACAAGAATGTATTATTGCAAGTAAAAAGATGAAAAAAATCTGAATGTTTATTTAAACTGTATTCCATGCCTTTCCAAAGCAACACTTCTCTGGAAAAAGAAAATCAACAACTATTAAAATAACCAAAAGAATGTAAGATCCTTGTCAATTAGTAATAATAATAAAAAGAAACATGGCAAAGAATGACAATGTTGTTGTTGTTTCATGGTAACTTCATAGGTTTCCTGGTGTTTGTTTTATTCTATGGAAAAGGAAGACTTTCAGAATATTTGTGAAACAGCAGTTTTAGGAAAAATCTATTTATTTTAATCTATTTTTTGTTTTACTGGGTCACTCTGAAAGAGACTGTAATCCTGCCCTGAAGTCTAGTGATTTTCTTGTTAAAACTAGATCAAAATCGATGTCTTAATAATATCCTTCAATCCGGATGACACTGTTTTTAATACACTGAGGTTTATTTGATATGTTCCCAAGTAATGTCTGAAGTCACATTTAAGGCTTGCACGTAGGAGGTTCACATAGTAGCAAGGGAATACCTTTTCCCCTGGATGAATATTGGCAGTGCTTTTACTTTCATATTACTGAAAGTGTTTACAGCCAGAGGTCTTTGTTGCTTTTGTATCAAAGCAGTACGCAAACAAGAAAAGCCTGGTTGGTATTCATAGCTGCGTGATGTTCTTCAATCCTAAAAGCAATTCAGAATGAACTCGGGAAGGGTAGCAGCCCCAGGGCTCTCCAGACCTAGCAGAGCTTGGTTACAATGGCATGGGATCTTGTCATGTTGGTACACTTCAACTCTGCTGCATGATTTACACTTTGAGTTGGGAAAATTATTATAACAACTGTTTAAAAAACATTTTAAAAAAGGCACGTGCTGTAAGATAGATCTATATATTAGTTGCAGATAACTGTGAATCATTTTAATGCTTTTCAACCGGTGGCAAAATAAAAAAACTGAAACAACAAATAAGGTCAGTTTGCATTTGAATTATCAAATGATTAGCTAGTATATTGTGCCTTATTACTGATTTTTTTTTAATCATTTATGAAGGTGTGGAACAAATTTATTTTATTTTATTTTTTTTTGAGAGAGAACAATAACAGCCAAGAGTTAGGAAGAAAATTTACTGAGCTGCTTATAAGTGAACTGCATACAGTAAACCATCTAGATACCTCAATTTAACATGTTAGTCTGGTAATCACTTTTAGAAAGTTTTATCTCTGAAATTGAGATAATTCCTGTCTTTTGTGCTTAGCTTTGCTCAAATTAGATCAAGTAGGACTGAAATTATGAGGGCATTTTATTTTTTTTTTCCACTCGTGAGACCATTTGTATCTGTGACTGAAGCAGTGTTGACAGGTGGGGTGGCTCTGTAGTGGTTAAATGCAGTGTTGACCAAAATACTTGAGCATAGCAATTAGGTCTAAATCCTGTTTCCACCAGAAGGCCTCAACTGCTGTCTTCTGACTTGATATTCTTCCTTATTTTGTGAGAGAATCAGTTAATTCGTGTGTGCTAACGCTAACTGGAAGTGCAAAGATGGAATTAAAGAAGTGAAAATAATGTAAAGGAAAAGCCTGTAGAACTGCAGTTATATTTTGACCTTTTATTTTTCCACATTACTTAAAACATGTTTAATAGCACTGTATGTTACTTTTTACAACAAAATACTTTCATGTATTCATTTACTGCTTATCACTGAAAACTTCATACAGTCAGATGTCAGCACCTAAATCTTCATAATACTGTTCTGTAGTGCAGTTTTGTTTTGTTTGAGAAAAGAAATTTTTGTTAGAAATCTTACTCTGTATTTAACATTCTTTTATTTTTTTCTCAGTGCAAAAAGTTTTTAAGGGGGAAAATACAGTCTATTGGTAGCAAGGCCATAGTTTTAACATGAAACAAAAGAGTTAGCATTGGTGTTCATCCATTAATGAAAGAATACAAAAGTTTTACTTTTCTCATACTTGTTTTCTGTTTGCATATGATAATCTGTGCTTTATGAAACTATCAGACTCAGATGTATTTAAAAAAAAATAAAAACAATACAGTTATATTTTTATTTAGTGGTAGACTTGTATTTGCTTTTTTAAGCTTGTTTTTCCAGGTGATAAATTGAACTATCTTTATCATTTGGATACATATTACAGACTTTTAAAAATACGGAAAATTCTAGCCAGTTCATTACTCAAAAATTAGGTATCCATGCAACTTACTGAAGAAAGGCAAAACTTGAAATAGTAAAGTCTCCCCTTCCCACAATGTATTGTAATGTAAGTAAATTCTTGAGCGTGTTATTTTCATACAAAGATATATTTTAATCATAAATGCCATTCTATTCCTCAGTCAAGTATTATGACAAATATAGGACACAAAACCATTTTATTGCAATGATTATAACATCACTTCTCAACCTTATTTAAACAAACCAACCAAACAAAAAAAAGCACTCCAGAATTCTACATCTTCATCTGGTATAAAGCAGCACATCTCTGAAGTCATACTGACACTTAGCTGCTGAGAATCCAGCCCTGGAGGTGGAGTAAGATACATTTACTTACAGGAGTTTCAAAGCACTCTTAACAGAGCAGGTACAGACAAGTGTGTTTCACCCCACCAGCATGTTTCAAATGGTGTGCTGGTTATATGGATTAAACTTTTAATGACGTTTTTCATAAGAACAGCAGAAACATCAGGAGGATTGAAAAAAAAAGCTAGAGTATTTAAATAGATGATAAAAATCTTAACACTACAAGGTAGGCTAGTGTTAAATAAAAACAGTCTATAGGTTTATAATAAATTAAAAATATCCTTTGGGTTTGAGTCTGATGCAGTATTTAGGGAGACTTTATACTATTCAGTGTCTAGATTTGTAGAGCTCCTATAGTGCATTTCAAAATACTATAGTGGTATGAAATTAGCTCCTTTAAAATAAATTATACAGTGGTTTGTGTAAAATTATAAAGGATAGTAAGTAATTATCCTGGATCATTATCTAGTGCAGTATTGGTAGAGCAGGTGAATGATTTTGTTTATTCGTTTTCTGTGGAAACAATTTAGCATATGCAGGGCATGATTTCATGCTGGCACTTGTTAATGGATGAGTAACGAACTGGTCCACCAAACTCCTTGGAAACGTGAAATAGTGAAGCTGTAGTTGAATAAAAATAATAAAGTGCTTTAAATGAGCATCTGTCATTTACTACATTGTTTCTCATTTCATGATAGACACCAAAACCAACCGAATGAAATATGATAGTGCTCTACAGTAAGTAAAATTGACCCTGTTGCTTACTGTAGTCAGTATTTCCATTTTTTTTGGTCTTGATGTTAAACTTAGCTTACTGTGAGATCACAGAAGAGGCTTATAACACAGGTTGAACTTGCACAGACATAAAGATCAACATAAATATTCCCTATTTTAAAGTTTCCTTTTGGAGAAAAAAAAAAAAGGTGGATGTAAGAGGAAGGAAGTAAAGAGAGCAATCTGGAAACAGTTCATATCTCCAGTGTATGTAACCAGTTTGCCTGAAATACACTGTTCAGTTTTGTGAGACATATAAAAGGTTGTCGGGAATGTATAGAAATCTGAGAATTTATTCCAAGTCCATTGGGTGATTGCTGCTATAAAATGGATGCTTCTTCCATGGCTTCAATCCACCTAAAAAGGGCAGGAAGGAAAGAGTGGTACATATAAAATTAGGTTTCTTTAGGAAATAGAAGAACATTAAGCTTGAAAAGGACTGTATTTCTCATCCTTGCTCTAATGAGGAACTATGGTTTTGTGATTAGAACGGGAGACATGAAACCACTGAAGTATGTTTAAAAGCAACAAAACCTCCCATAAACAATAATTTCCTTCCCTGTGTGTCCTGAGGTGCTGGCATTTTTACTTTGAATTTCATGATTATTTTACTAGGTGGAAGCAGTAGCAATAAATTGTGAAATCTGAACAATTATGTCTTGAGAGCAAACTAAGAGATGGATAAATAGAACTCAGAAATCAGGGAAGCTCCTGTGCAAAAATCACATTTGACAGACTTCAAGGTATGATTCTTGAGACTCAGCCTCCTTTCTAACTATTCAAGGGAGCAAAAACACAATAGATTTATAATCACCCACATCTCTCGCATGCAATTAAGCTTAGTAAACACTGAAAGCCATTTGTTTACTCTGTTATGGTAGGAGTTCTGAAGTGAAGGAGAGGAAAACCCTACTGAAGCTTTTACACCTGCATACTGCCAAGCGTGGAAGTCTATCCCCATACCTCTGTGCTGAATTGTTATCCTCTGCTCGGAAGCTATAAAACAGAGTCTGCTTGTGGTAGAGATGGAAAACTGTATCCGTACTTCCTTCCTCCTTTTCTGGGGCAATAGTAAAACCCAACAAAGGCAAACTTTCTGTGGCAACTTTGTCCTGAAAACAAACAAGAAGTGAACCAAAAATTAGAAGGCTTGTAACAGCTTGTGGGCTTTTTTTCTGAAGACCAATCGTGATACAACCCCTCTCTGGGCTGCAAAAGCAGTAGTACCAGTCTGATGCTGGACTGGTGGCTCTTAAACAGGAACAGTGCCAGTGCATATTTGCACATGTTCACCTAGTCCTGAATTCCAACAACACCTCTAAAAGTCTAGTTATTCATGGTCACCCACAAGGTCAAATTGCCCGTAACTTTCGTGGCTACCTTTGATGTAATGGTCCACAAAGTAAACTGCAAGGTTACTGACAGTATGGCACATGCAGCAACGCTTCTGAAAGTTTGAGACACAGCTCAGTCTCAGTTGTGTTACTTTGAAACACTTTTTGTTTGCTGAATGCAAATAGTAGTCTGATTGGTACCTTGTCATTTCCTTTCATAGCAACTTTCATAGCAACTAGCAACTTTTTTTAGAAACATGCACTATGTCAAATAGCATGCTCGCATTCAACGAGGCCTCCACATTTCTGAATTGGTAATGCAGTTCAGTGTTAATTTACCCCCAAGAAACAGCCATGCATCTTGCTTGCCAAACACGGCTTTTTATAAATTCAAGAAACAATAAGCATTATTCATACTGTCTTTTACCTGTCACTGAAAGCTGCAGTTTTGGCCACTATATCTGGGTAATGTTTTCTCTAAGTGTATAATGTTTTCAGTGTGTGTATGTTGCCTTTGCTTCTGCTCTTAGAAACTGAATTGCAAACTGGGAACATAAAGTTTAATTAGTCATCCACTACTCTTTCCCTATCACTGAACCAGATCACTTCAAAAGTCAAAGAAGGTAAGTAATGTCTTGGATACAGAATTTGATGGTAATAGTCTGAATTGCTGAGTTCAGCAAAAGTCATAAGAGGCTGCAGGGCCTTGGAAAAAAAGTCTGCTTCAAAATTATGTGGTCTAAATGTAAAGGAAGTAGGCAGAAAAAATACGAGGTTACTAACTATACAACAGCACTGCTGAAGCAATTGATAAGTTAGTTTCCAATGATGGCCAAATGAACTCTTTTGTGCCTCAATCTCATCTGTTTAAAGGGGATCATGGTGCTTCACGCCTCAAATTGGTGAAGAAAATTTAAATAATTGACATTTGCAAAGTTTTCTGAGGGCTTAAAATATCAAATATTGCTGTTACTACAATTCTTGCATTGTGTCCTTTGTCTAGCAAAATTACTTTTTAAGCTTCTGCTTATGAAATCTGTCAGTCATAACCACCCGTTGTATTGCATTTACTTTGGTAAATGCAGCTATTCACAAAGGAGAAGAAATTAAAATATGAAAAGGGACTAGGGAGAGAAAAAGTACATAAAAATGCTTTAGTTTATACCCAAGCTCCTTGGCTATAAGGTGGAGCTTACAGGCCAATATAGAGAGCAATATTCTCACCTCTCCAGATTGTCTCCTGTCTTTCCCTGTTGATACTAGTAGGATATATATATATATATATGTCATATTTATACTTGCAAAAGTGCAAGATTCTCCTCACCACCAGAAATGGATTACAGTGCCATCTATAAAAAATCCGTCAGTTACCTTGAAGTGTTTGTGTGTAAATACCTAGACTAAGGTTGACAGTATATAGCAGCACCAGCAAAAAGTCAAATAATGAAGAGCAATTTGTTAGGAGGGTTACTGAGGTCCACCCAGGTTTGTGGCTGAGTCTCTCTGATAAGGAGAGCTGCCCAGGAACTCAGTCTGTTAGAACCAGCTCTCAGAGGTTCTGTGGAGAGGTGACTGCAGAGAGCAAAAGAGGAAAGCCAGTTAAGAAACTATTTGAAGTCTGATTGCACAGTACCTCATTTGCTGTGTAAGTATAGAGGACTTTGCCTTTGATAACAAACCAGCGTTTCTTCCAGTGTCTTTTGCCTCTCTTACATCTACTGAGGTAACCACTGATGGTAGCTCCCTCTCCCGAGGCTGCCACCTGGAGGAAAGCAGGAGAAAGCAGGATTTGTGACAGCAGAGGCTTTTCCCCTCCTGATAATGCACGTTCATCTCATACTAGACAACTAGGGCTATGTCCATGAAACCATAAGTAGACCACTAAAAATATGGAGAAATAAAAAGCATAAGTGTGATATTACTGTTCTTTTTTTTACTGTTAGAAGATGTTTGGTTAAATTTAGTTCTCAGTAACACATGGAAAATATGCAACCAAATTGTTACTAAGGTCAGCAAGTTTACAGTTGTGTTCTGAGAAGGTGTACTTGTGTACTTGTCCTTTTTCCCAGCTTATTTTCTTGGGGGGGGGGGGGGGGGGGAAGAGAAGGAGAGGAAGCAGCTGAGGGGGGTGAGGTGGTAAACTGAAAGTGCATGCTTCCAATATGGAAGGACAGTCCTTTAGCTGAACACCTATAAGATGTGGGTATATTTAGGACTTTGCAATAGTTTTATATTCATTTATGTTAATAAATTGATAGTGACTATTTCATTTGTGATGTAATATTTCCGAGGAAGGTTACACAGAAGTATTTGGAGATCTAAGCCATTAGCGATCTTAAGGATCCACATTTTGAGTGAATGGAACTATGCACATGCACACCTGCGCATAATGCAGTATGCATCATTAATTGCAGCAGTTAACTGCAATTATACCAAATTATAAACAAAGGTCAGAGGTTCAAAAACAGCCTTTCTAACACTAACAGAATAGAAGACTGAGCAGTATCACAATAGTGTATTGTAGTAGAATAAAAATATTCCAAGACCTGGGTAAAACAAATTAGAAAAAAGTTATGCATCAATGCTACCATCAGACAGTTCACATTAATAAACATGCTGCCTCCTTGTGGATAGAAAGACAATACTATTGTCATAACAGCTGAATTTTGGCCTTTCTCAGTATCCAGTTTTTGTGTTTGTGTTACATGCGTGTATTTTTGGCTTAGTTTCACCTCAGTACAAATAAACCTCAAGAATTTCCCATGTCTTGACATAACAATGAATTCAGCAAGATGTTTTCACCTTATTTTCTTTCATATAATCTCAGAGTGTCTGGGGAATGCAGCCATAGGGCAGGACTTACTGGATGCTTTCTTTGGTCATGACCTGGGAACCTGAGTGCAGCCCTGTGCCATGCGTGATTCTGTTGTGCTGAGGTGGCATTTGCAGCATAACACACTTTTTTTGCCTGTGACACAGTGGTTTTACAGCTCTGTAACTTTGTTCTGGACAGGAGTTAAGGCCATTTCCATCTGTGTCTCTTTTGCCTCAGGGAACAGTCAGCATGCTGTTGGAGTAGGGATATGGCACATGTCATTTTAGATCCTAGCTGGAAACACCACCTCTGTATTAAGAGTCTATATGTAAATCATAAAGCATTGATTTTATTTTATTATTTTAAAGCCTTTCTGCCATCTTTAACAGTCCCATGTTGGACACAAACCAATATGCAGCTCCCTGTAGCCTTCTCTTCCCTTGTCGTGTGCTACAACTTGAAATTTCGGGGCTGAGAAGGAGACCTGTGCCCTGCATTTAAGATTGTTACTAAAATCAAAGTGGTTTGTTGAGCACTTCCACCCTCTCCTTCAGTACCCTTGTATGAATCCCATCCAGCCCCATAGACTTACGAACATTCAAAGGATGTAATAGGTCACTTACAGTTTTCCATTTAATTACAGGGCCTTCATCTCACTCCCTGTCACCATCTTTCAACTCAGGGGGTCTGGGTACCCTGAGGAAAAATGGCCTTACTAATAAAGACTGAGGCAAAAAAAAAGCATTAAATACCTCAGCCTTACTTCATCTTTTGTCACTGTGTTTTCCATCACATCCAATAAAGGAAGGAGATTCTTTTTAAAAAAGTCTATTTTGTCGTCTTCTGCACTAGCCAAATTGAGTTCCAGTTGGGCTTTGGCCCTTCTAATTTTCTCCCTGTGCAACTTGACACCACTGTAATCTTCCTGAGTTCCCTTTGCTTTCTTTCAGAGTTCATGAACTCTTTTTTTCTTCCTGAGTTTCTGAAGAAACTATGATAAATACTTGCTGATTTCAGTGAAATGTGAGTACCTTACTGTGTTCAGGTTTAATAGGCAACTTTGCTACCTAGACTGCATCAACATGATTGACACCTTTTTCTTGGAAAGAAAATTAATATAGCTGGAGAAATTGTGGTCCCTTTGAAACAGGTGGGGATTTTGCTTGTTTACATTGGTGGGATCAAGATTTTATCAATTTTATTTGAAATACTTTGGTTTGAGCTGGGGGGAAAACGACTGATTAAATGTGCACTCCTGAATTACTTACAAAAAGAGTAGAGTCTATTGCCTAAATGGCGTTTTATTTTTTGAAATCAAAGTAAAATTTCAGAAGTAAGTGTCTTGTCATAAAAAGTAACTGATTGACAGCAAATCATGCTCTGTTGATACTTGTGAAGGCCTATGACCTGCAGTCTTTTATTAGCTACTACCGTGAGGTAGGCTTATTTTTTTCTGAAGACATTACAGGTTGATGAAGTAATTAAAGTAAGCTGCTCTAATTTGGGTTTCTTAGTGGGCTGAAAAAGGTTCTGTGGTATCTTCAGAGCACAGAGTATCTTGTGTTTGAAATTCTAGTGTGAAAAATAGAAAAGATACTTGCATGATGCAAGTAGACCAGGGCATGGGTTGAGCCCACTGCACACAGAATAAATTATAAACAAAGCTGCTGAAATAGCACACAGTTCTGTGCAGTTCCTGGCCTTTCTCAGGCAGCTTGGTCCTACCTCCATAAGAGCTGAAGGGATCTTCTTCTGTTTCTTAAAAGATGAATAATGGATATTGTGGAAGACAGAGAAGGCACTGCTTGAACACCTGGATGAAGTTGGAGGGAAGCTCACACTTAGTGGCCGCTCTGCAAGATTAGGAAAATTCAGAAGGGAAGGGGGAAATAGGTGAATCAGCACATATCATAGTAGGCCTAAGAGACACATGATACACTAATGCAAACCAGCTACGGAAAATGCAATGCCTCCTCCATAGCTGTTTTTTATTTCAGCTTTTCTTTTGAATTTCTGCTTTAAGTCTGGCTAGCTTGCTGGATTTCATAGCACCCTAGGGTAATGGTAATAACCTACAGCTTCTTGAAAGCAGCCTGCAAGAAAGCTGACAAAACAGTAAACACAGCTTGTTTTCTTCTAAGTTAAAATCAACATTAACCAAATGGCTTTTCCATCTCACTCTCTGTTCTGTAACATCTCTGCAGGATGAATTCACTAATGGGACATTCTTTCAGTATAAAACTCTTTGAGAACTCTGTATTAAGAACACTTTGAGTTCTGCAAGGGAGACATCAGTCTTCATTACCCCTTGTTGTCTGAGTTCACATCTTCATGATCCTCTCCTCTGGCAACACACATTATCAGGAAGTTTTGGTAAAGCTCGGCATTGTTTTAGCACAAATCTGAGTTATCAATTCTTGGGCACACAATGGCTTGGGAATGCTTTGGCTGTTGTGACAGTATCAGTTCATGTGTTTGCTTGGCTAGTGTTAATTTCTTTAATCAGAATGGAAAACTAAATTCACCTGTCCCTGTTATTTTAGCTCTGACACTAGAATGTACCTACTTTTAGGGATTGTCTACATGAATAATTGTGGGAGAACATTATTTCATGTTAATTCTCTGTTCATATATACATTTTTTTTAAATATTTGTATTATATATAGAGAGAGATATATACTCCCCCACCCCAATTTATCTTTGATTTGGGTGTGTATTTAAAACAGAACAGGGACTCATAGTGGGACAATAAGATACAGAGTTCTAGTTAGGCCTTCCACTTTGAATTTGTGTTTAGCTCTTCCACTTTGAATTTGTGCTTTCATCTATTCCAAGATTAACTTCCCATGTAGAAAAGCTCTTAGAGGCTCTGTACTTTGCCTAGGCATTTCTTGTAAAAGCTACAACAAGGGTGAGGACAGAATGAGGAATAGTAAAGCCACTGATTTCCTATAACAGGAAAAATTCAGTATAAAAAACAAGGAATAGCTATCAGCTATACTGTTTGCATCTCACTGTTTGCCGCTATTCTGGCTTATCAAAAGGCCAGAGGAACCCTCAAAGGACAGCCTGGCTTTCTAATAAAGTTTTAGCTGACATACAGCCTGCCACTCTTGGGACATCAATACGCATGCCTCATGCTTGAAATGAGAAATCCTGTCACAAAACTGAACATAGTAGGCAGGTCCTAAAACCCTCCCTGTTATATAAACAGGCACCAGATTTGTCAGTTTTGCCAAGAATGAAGGAACCTTACCTCTTTTCTTCAATTCCATATAGCAGCTGTCACAAACTTTGGCTGCCTGATCTTTGAGGTACTTCAGAGGGTACTTGTTTCTTGAACAATTTCGACATACAATCTGTTCCGGAAAGGATAGAAGCATTTAAATATAATTTTAATTGGACATATGCACATACAGAAAAAATCCTTCGAGTTGTTTGGGAGAGGAAGATGAATAGTGGAGCAGATTTGACTCTGCTACAGCAGTGTCAATCCTGGTAAGCCTACTGATTGAACTGTGATTGCTGTAGATTTACACTGTCATAAGCTAAGCAGAACTGATCACAGAATTTAGTTGCACACCGTTGCTATGCTTATCTCTGCAAGAACTTACACCTTTCCCCTTATCAAAGCACAGAAAAGCCACTTTAATATTACTCTTGTTTTCATAGTTTCGTTAGTAACATTATTTTCTGAAGCAAGTTTGCATGTTCCCACTACCCCTGTCTACGTACTGACTGATTTTTCTCTGTGAATTTGGGGGGAAAAATATTTTTTCATACTAGCAGAAATTAAAAATTAAAAATAATAATTAAAAAAAAAACACAACACACTGAGACTAAAAGAGAACCTTGGTTCAAAACAGGACTGTAAATTTGTATGTATAAACACATCTCGAGTCAGCTAAAGGAGTGATAAAGGAACTAGAACACTGGGAAGCTTATAGATCCTCATGGCTTTAGGGCAAACGGCAGCAGCTCATCAGTGGAGCATAGAGAAAGCTTTCCCTGTGGTTACTGACCAAACCGTTCCCTGTCACTGAATTTCATCACTTTTTTTGGAAGGTAATTTTAGTAGCTGTTATTAGGGGCAGGACGTGGATTTTTGACTGCTCTGGTCCATACCTTTAATCTGTATTTTTAGTGTATTGCTTCATTGTCTCTAGTTCTAGCTGCAGATCAGATACAACAGCTGGACTCAGCAACAATTACCATGTAAGCTTTCAACTACCAGCCTTTGGGAATTAATTTGCCTCTCAAGGGCAGGTTGCTGTTGTTCCTACTGGTCATTAGAAACCTAATTACCTAATCTAACAGGGCACTAACAGGTTCTGTGGGAAGCCAAATTCTGGTCTTGATGTTGCTACGAGTTTGTAGAAATTACACCAGTGTCAGCCAGTGTCTTAGAAGTGTGAATACAGCCTCCCTGAGGAGCTGTACATCTCTTACCTTCCCACAGGCGTGGCAATGATGTCGCCTCAAAGTGAGGGTAAAATCACAGCCACAGTTCATGCACATCATGACATGGGACACAGGTACCAAAGTAGGAGGCCTCTCACCCACGGTTATTCCAAGCTTCTCCCGTAGCTTAAAATCCAACAAGAATGAATTAAGAAGCATCCACACTTCCAAAGTACAAAGTGATTTCCCTCATACAGTTTTTTCATTGCAGTCCACCTGCTACAGTCCCCATTTTTTCTAATTCTTGATGCACATTGAGATAGAGGTGCTTCAGCACTGAAAGTCTGTGGCCAATCAGTACATGGTGCTGTGAAAGCCAGTCACAACAGGTAAGAATCAATGTAGATCTGTTGTTACTGGTCAGGCACTGGCAATCTTCCACATCAAAGATCTTATTCATTGTATATGCAAATTGTGGGTAAGAACATGAGTTAAACCCATCTTTTTATTAGCAGTTTTTGAAATAGCATCGCTAAAAAGCTCCATAGTTTTCAGCTGAAAAGAGGCTGAGCTCATTATTTCATTACACCTTGGAGCAGTTTTATCACTGGGGAAGAGACAGGACAGAAAACGGTAAAAACTTGTTTCTTTTCCAAAGCAAATTGTGATGTGCACAAAGAGGAATTTATCCCCACACAGTCCAAATATCTGTAAGCAGCTTTAGAAAATGTATTCACTATTCCTATTGCATTGGAATGCACCAGGCTGCTGTTGTGCAAGTGCCTATGCCTGTGCTCCAAGCCCATGGAGCCATGGTCGATATGAAACTGAACCTAATTTAATAAGCCACTGCTGATATGCAGGTGTTACTTCTGGTTCAGCACAGAAATATTTGGGGTACCACTTTCAGTTCACAACACTGTAAGTGTTTGGCACAGGTAGTGCACAGTCTTGTGCCTTTGGAGGACTGTTTGCTAGGGAGGTTTGCTATGAGGAAAATAGACTCCTGCAAGCAAATAGGATGCAATTCCTCCAAATTTCTTCTTGTGCACATTCAGATTTACATCAGAAGTAGAGATGCAAAAGAAATTACTTTTCCATGTCTTGAAAAAGGCTTTGATTTTGCTATGCAATAGAATTTCTAATTTTTATTGTTAAAAATTTGAAAGCAAATTAACTTCAGGGCAGCAAGAATTTTTTTTTTTTTTTTAGTAAAGGGTTCTGCTTAATCTAAAATAGAATTTTTACTTTTGTCAAGCACATTCTTTGGCTTCATAACTGAGAGCAGTACAATTGAAATCAACAAGAAAGTAACCATATACATCAATTGTGCAGATTCAGTTAGAATATTGCTGGTGAGGTTTGCATTGGCAGTGGCTTTATTGTTTGTATAGTATTAGTATAACTAATGGGTAGTTTTGTTTTCTTACATCTACAGAGTTAGTACCTGTTTTTTGATCATCCAAGATAGTTACTGTTTAGGACCAAATTTTGTTAGTCTTCCTCCATGAGAACTCATATTTAAGCAAAGACCACAGAATACAGAGTGTGATTAACATTTCAGGTGGCCTCTCAAACCATGAACTGTGGTATGAGGTTTGTTATTTAGGCTTGACATACCGATTTAAATGAAAACAGTAAGAATGTCCTGCCCTAGGAACTCTACATTTTATAGCCCTCCTCCTTCTCTTTCCTCCTTCCCACTCCCTCTCCCTCTGTGTGTGTTCCCACTGCCCTCCCACTTCCCCTTCAAGCACTGAAAGATTTGGCTTCCTCTTACCTCAACGTTACTGTGGAAGGTGGAAGTATTGTGAGCTTTGTAGTCATCAGGGATGTGCCTGCTGATGCAGCTGTACCAGTCATCCCTTTCCGAGCAAGAGCTGTGGAATGAAATACAGCAAAGCAGTCAATGCACAAAGCACATCAGGAACCAAAACAAGCAGTTTCTGGATCTGAGGAGAAAATCTTCACTTTATGAATGTATGATTTTACCCACTCATGCATTGAACCAGTTGTTTTCAACCAGGAACAAAACTGACTGTTGTATTTATTCAGCTGGGTGATTAGTGTAGATCAATGGTTATGACTGTGACCAAGAAGGAAATCAGTGCTCAGAAATGTTTTTTGAAGTAGTTTCTGACTTTTCTATAAGCTGGTCAATCCTAGATCACATTAGACTATAAAGTGTTTCTTCTGCCATGTCTGCCCTAGCTATTAGGCACTCTAAAGCATGTAGTGTCGCCATGGGTTGCTCAGAATAAGTGTGTTTGTGCTCATCTCTACAGCATTTTCTCTAGTTGCAGTTATGCGTGGAGGCTAGTAGTTCTCCGAACTGGCCTCTAGATGCCCCCTTTGCACTGGACAGAACAGGGAGCACTTTGTGCTTCCCTGTCAGTACAGCAGCCCCAGAAAAGCAGCAGGGCTCTAAATGCCCAAATGCATTTTTTCTTCTAGGACCATTAGCTGGTCCTGCATATGTTAGCTGGCTTTCATGTTGTGACTTCAAACTGTGTGCATAATGTCCATCTGAAATTGTGAACAGCTCTAGCTGTTTTCAGAATCAATCAAAGGAGAGGATGCAGCTCAATGTGTTGTTCTCCCTTTCCTGAGTCATACCAGGTACTCATGTTAAAGCTATCCACTAGAGTTCCTTTTAAAACTAAGCACTGGCATCGTTGCCAGCTGCTGTTCATCTGTGATTTCCATACACCATGCTCAGGAAGGCCACCAAACAAGACATCTAAGGACAATTTGTCCAATTTGCCTTTTGTGGTCTTAAAAAAAAAGGGGGGTGGGGGTGGGGGAGAAGTGGTAGAGACGAAGTGCCAGAGTTAATCAATGATCCCTGACTTGGCACTCCTCTGCACCCTGAACATAAGCCCTCATCTGTTAAAAACACCAGCAGTCATTCAGTTTACTCATAAGAGAAACTGAACGGGATGGGATTTTGTCACAGTGCTACCCACTGTTGCTCTGAATTAGTCTCACAGGGTGGTACACTGACTGCTTTCTCCCAGTGCTCTGTTGTTTTATAAGGGCACCAGATGGTTACCTCTGTGTCCAAAAGGAATATTTTTGACATGTAAGTAAAGGTGTAACAGCAGTATCAGCCTTCTCTATAAAAGCTCTGTGCCCAGATCTATCACCTGCTCACTGCAAGCCCAGAACATGGCTTTTTGGGTGAGCAAGCCGTTTTCAGTGCAACATGTGAAGACTTTACTGCACCACCTTCTCATACAGCCGTGCCAACTTTTTTGCCTTTAGCTCCTGGTGATGATATATTTCCTCAATGCACACTCACCTTGTCTCATGCAAATTTAAAAGCACTGAGGTTTTTTGATAAGCAACAACTGGTCTTCAGTGCAGGCCTGCAACACCCCAGTTTGAACAATAAAAGACACAGTTTTTAAGGATGCTTGAAGCCTTCTGGTACTTGTTTTGGCTAAGCACAGACTTCATATATATGAACATAAACGGACCACATAAGCAGAGCATCCCATGCTGCTTCCTGGGGATGCCAGCTTCAGTTGGTTTGGATAAAAGGGGCATACAGCAGTTACTTCCCCTCTGCAATAGAGAAGTACCATACACTTGCTTTTTTAACTGTCAGCAGGTGATTCAGAAGCACTGTGTGTATATTTTGAAGATTGTGATGAGTGTGCAGATCTAAGAAAATCTCAGATGTTTTCTCATGTGCTGGCTGTAAAAGGAAACAGACAAAGACTTTGACAGATATCTAAGCACTGTCCACAGATGGCAGATCTTCCTAGAAATATGAGAGTTCCAAATTCTGATTCTGAGTAAGAGAGTGTCTCTCTGTCTACCTATTAAACTGTGTAGTTTAGGGAAGTCTGCTGTGTTTCCAGCCATGCTGTAGCTGGAGACTGATGGTGAGGAAACTGGTACTTGAAGTTTTGAAGACCTTTTTATTTGGAAAAATTAATTTTAATAACATTGCTAGGATGCTACGTCTTTTATAGTAAACTACACCTGAAAATCAGTCCAGCTCTAAGTAAATTTGCAGGATAATTTTGGACTAGAAGCATCAAATAACACAGTACACTGCAATCTTGTGATCAGAAACCAACCTACAATCTCTTTTTACCATTATTTTTTAATCCCAGGATAGAGATCCTGGCTTTCAGTTGCAGTCAGTACTAGCACTACACAAACTCATTAGTGAAATTCCTTTTGTTAGAAAGACCCATGAGATTGCCAATGAAGTTCAACTTTGTCTTTGTCATTTAAGCATTATTAAGTGCTTTTATGTCCATTGCATGGTGTTACCTATTTACAATTCTCCAGCAATTTTGCAACACTAGTTTTATGAGCTAAAAGTATAATTGTGAAAGGGAAGGATAACATGCTCATGGTGTTACAAGGAAAGAGTGTGAGAGGTCAATGGAAAATCCTCAGGCTTCATAGAAAGATTTTATTCTCTTTCCTCTCTCTTTAAAATGTTTTCAAAAGCTAAGTTCTAATCATTACTCATTATACGAGTCAAATTAGCTACAGTTTATGAGGTTTGCATTTATATCTTCATTGTGTAATCAAGTACTCAGCCATTGTCTGTCACAATAGCACAGACTGAAACCAAGTTAGAAGAGAATGAGAGACTAGTAAAGCCTAAATATTGGTTAGGTTAATCTAGAGATACAACTAGAATGTAACACCTTTTGCCATGGCAGTCTGGGGACAGTACCTTGCTGACAGTGTCAGGCAATATTCATCATATTCAATCTTCAGGACGTTTTGGGCTTTTTCTGTCACAGGGCGGCTGACCTAGAAAAAAATGCCATGAACATAAAGGTGGAGTTAAACTGTCTATAACACTGTACAACTCTCAATGCAAAGGGATCTTTGATGTCCCAACCATCTGTTTCATACTTCAATGCAAAGAAATGGGCTGGTAGGGTTTTCTGCGTATTCTGTTCTTGGTTTAATGGGGAATGCTTTCTATTTCAATATGGTGGTGGTGCAAAAGGGAAAAAGAAAATCATTTAATCCAACTTGAAAGGTAAGGATAAAATATCAGTCAGGGTAGAATTTTAATATGACAAGCTTAGGAGATATTTAGTCTGAGAAGTGTCAGAGCATTTTGGGAAGAAGCCGTGGCTGTTCCTGGAATGAATGGAAATAATTTTCTTCCTGACAGGTAGATCATATACAGAGCAGTGCTTTAGATCGGTGAATGCCTGCCTGGAGCCAGGCTCTTTAATAATAAAAAATACTTAAAATCTACAGCTCAGATAAAATTCCCCTTCATGTAGTGTATTAGTCATCTACTAACAGCAACAGGCACTTAAGAGAAACATAGCTTCACGGTACTGGAACTATTATGCTAATGACTCAGTGTTTCAAATGTACTAACAAGTACCTGTTCTGTAATTCCTTACTTAGTGGTGGTACTTTTTGGCAATTCTTGTGTCAGATGGGAACTCATAGTTAATTTTAGACTATGATGTCTGTAGGGTGATTAGCCTGCCACCTTTTCATAAAACCCTAATACACCTTGTATCATTCTGCTGAAATTCATAATTACTAATTCACGTCTTGCTTGTTTCTTAGAGCACCAAGCTCCTGACTTGCCACTTGAAGTCTTCTTTCATAAAAATACAACTTGGCATATTGGCCATAGAACAGTTAGGAAGGTTCCTGGTGGGAGGTATGTAATGGTCAGCTAGGTCAGAGCCAAAAACCACTCCAGCCCAAAATCTCCTGTTGCACAGGTACCAGTACCACCTGATGCTTAGGGAAAGACCGTAAGAACAGGATAATTGTGTCCAGTTTCTGCAATCTGCAGTTAAGGAACTTACTGAACAAGAGATTATCTCTGTATCATTGCACGTAATAGCACTCAATACACCATTTCCCCATGAAGTTTTAGAATCCAATAACATTTCTGATGAAGACAGTCAAAGTTAAAAAAAAAACAACAACAGGCAAATGAAAGCTTATATAAATTCTAAGTGGCATGAGTTTAAAATCTGGTAGCCTACGCCCTAGTTAATGTGTTGTAGGGAACAACTGTGCATTGTCTGGAGACATGAGGAGGGGAATGAACCAAATAGGATAATAAATCTTTTCTGTCTCCAGTTTCATGATCCGATAGTAAATCTGATTTTGGCTTTCATTATTCATTACAAGCCTGAGTAAGGCTGTCATACTAAGCCACAACCTTACAGTTAATGTTATGTTTATATTATTTTTCCTTCTATCTCCTGGAAGAGGCAATGAATGGAATCCTCTGATAGCAGGTCCACTCCTTCTCTCCCCTTGCCATGAACTGGAAATGAGACATAAACCAGCAAAGTACTAACAGCTCACTGTATAACTTTGATTCCAGCCTATAATACAGATAAGGCATTACCTTCATGCCTGACACAGCCAATGTGTTTTTCAGTCGGTATTTGCCATCCTTCTGGGGATATGTGTACAGCAGAACATCATTCATCTACATGAAGAGAAAGACAAAATCAGTAATCTGAAATATGGTTTGCAGGCCTGACCATTACTTGTGGGGGGGATACCCAGAACAAGCAGTAACTTGATGATCTGTCAGGACTGTTGCTACAGACAAGCCCAAGCTGCATAGCTTAGGTCAAGACCTGCATTTACAGAGAGCTCTGGGGAGTCTGGATCCAGGACTTTGATTCCTTCCCATTTTTGAAGTTGCTAATGGCTAAGCAAGTAGATATTCAGCCCCCTTCTTATTCAGCTTGGGTAAAACAGGTCCTTGTTTTAAGGGCAATGCTGTGTTCAAGTTGGGAAGCCAGGCTGTACTTGTTACCTGGCAATACCAACTAACTGCCCGGGATGCTGCTGCTCTGACTCTGCCCCCCGACAGCAAAGCTGTGGTGGGTAGGGCTGGGCTTCATGGACTTCTGTTTTCAGGGCAAAAAGGAAGTGGAGGTAGGAAAGTTGCCAAGGTCTGGAAGAATGACTCAGGGAGGAATGGTTTGGATATTTGAGAGAAGTAACCAGATTTCTCTGCTAGCAGAATTCTCCCAGACACAACAGCATTGCTGGGTCCAAGGGCCACAGCAGAGACCATGGGATAGCAAAATTAGAAACATTTTTTTTTAATTTTATGAGGAAAAAAACATCTGTAACTCAACACCCCAAATTTCTCCTTAGTTCTCACAGTTCTTGGCATGTTTATCAGACAGCTTCATACAGAATAGGATCAGATCTTCTCTTCTGTTTGCCTATCTTAATAGACATTATTGCAGCCTTTTGCCTCTGTGCCAGCAAACAAATAATTGAAACAGTGGAACTGGACCTGGCAGGTCTTTGCTGGCCTTTCCTCCCCATACTACCAGAAGGAAAAACTGTGTCATTGGGCCTCAACATTGCTAAGGTAATGCTTACATGCTTGCATTCTCTGCTTTACTTGAACGAGCAGATCATGTTCTGTTGTTTTCTTTCTCTGACATCAATACCAATATGCATAAGTTGCAAGGCATAGGTAATACTGTGTGATGACACGTGTCTTAAATGCAGAAATTCTGAAGAGAAGTTAAAAAGTAAACAGAAACCAGCTTCACTTGGATTCCTTTGTGACAAGGACATTTTAATGTAGCCAATTGGATGCTAATAATACTGCATTTTGGAAGGAAAACTATAATAAACGGAGAGGCTAAAAAGAAGGGAGAAAACTAAAGAATCATTGAAAAATGAACACAGGATTCCCCCTTGTCTTGTGTTGGCAGCCTGTCCATCCAGGTTGTGAACATGACCTATTTATGTAGAATACATGTCATTTTTTTTTAAATTTGGCAATAAAATAACATATCCTTTAGGACTGGAATTGTCAGGGTCTTGCTATTACTGCCCAACTGCCTAAAACAGTTGTTGTGAGGTTTTCATTCACTTGCTTGTCTGAAGAAAATGGAAGTAGAGCCTTATGGATGTTTTCTTAATAGATCATACTTCAGCTTTCGTACAGAGCAGTTATAGTAGTTAAAGAAAAATGATATGGGATATATCTTTATCACCTTGAAGTTAACAGCAAAATTGTTGCCTTTGTTAGAGGGTCATGAGCTAACTCATGGGTAACAGTTCATTAAGCAGCAAATCAAGTTTCTGTGCATTAGCTGCACAACTTTAAAATGAACATTGCCACTAATGTGGGGCAAAATATATCGGAGTGACTTTCTCTAAAGCATCTTACTTCAAATTTTACTCTTTTAAAAATTGAATTGATTTTAATGAGTAAGATCAACCAATATTGTTGTGGAAAATTATGAAATATTTCATTCTAACATTTTAAAAAGGAAGTTTTATTTTTTGATTCAAATAGTGTTTCTTTTTGTTTAGGATTTTATATCAGTTAAAATTAAAGGATGATAAGTGAAAGGACTATATAGGCATCCCTAAGATTAAATAAACTATTTGATTTTCATCTATTATACATTGCTTAGTGGAAGGAAAAAAAAAAAAAAAAAAAAGAGAGAGAGAGAGAGATTTGGTTCTCCATTATTTTTAGCAAAAAGACTCCCAAGCTTCCAAGCTTTCCTTCACTGACCACTCTAGGGTTCAGTTCTCTGTGGCCTTCTAGTAAGTTATAATTGATGCAGAATTTAAAGCTCTTTTAATATAACACTTTTAAACTGAGGGTATTAAAACATACTATCAAGTCAGAAAGGACATCTCAGACTCTAGTCTCCATCTAGTCTGAAGTGGAGTATTTACTCCTTTGCAACAAAACAATAGAATTTCCTTAGAACAGGGTGACAAATGGCTTGTCACTGTATTTTTATGCCATTTGCTTAGTGCTCCATAATTTACCTTTCCTGCTAACATTAGTCCAACCATCTCAGTGACACCTGCACAGTACTGACCACGTGATGATTCCTAGTTTAATTACAGCTATCCATAAACAGAAAACTCATCACAACCTGCTGAACACTGAGCATCTATGAGGCTAAGCTAGCAAAACCTGAGCAAATGTAAACCTCACTGTAAAGCAGTTGTAGGTGCCAGTACTTGAGGCTTGTTTCAAACCACAAGAAAAGGTAACTAATTATGAGCACTAAGCCCAAGAAAGTGAAATCCTAAGAGAGATCTTTAGGATTCTGGTGTAATGTGCTACTGGGTTTCTTGGACAGAAAACCCCATTTAACTTATTTATTTAAAAAGTTATGTGTTTCTTTACAAAGCAACTCATCCTTTTATTACTGTTGATTAAGAAAGAAACCTTGATGCCTACCGTTGTCATGGCAGCTCAAATCAATATCCCAAGATTTTATTAAACATTAATGATGACTTTGTTTTATAGTTGCCCAGGAGAGGCTTTTTACCTCCTTCTGCTTTTTTGCCCAGTATATAAAGGTAGGCTGTGATTCTAATTGCGATCCCACCAGCCACAGCTTGTCACAATGAAATTATGACAAATATTTCAAAGCTTGCTAGGCAAAGCACACAGATTTTCATGAAGAAAGGGTTTACATTCGCTGCTGTTTCCTTTGCCATGTCTACACTGGAGACCTGAGTGGTGGCTGTATGAATGGTATACACAGAACTAGCTTGAGTACCTGGGGCTCATGCATCCTCCTGCTTCGTGCTGCACATTGTTCCCTGTGAGGAATGTGATACAATCCGATCTTGTAGCCCCTCAGGAATCTGTGGTGAAAGAGCTTGACTGCCACAACCCCCAAGTACTTCCCATTAGTTTTTGGGTTTTACACACTTTGTCTTTGCCAGAAAAGTTTTGGAACAGCTGGGATTCCCAAACTGTATACATATTGCTACAGGAGTAAATACTCCTTTTCTACACTACCACATGCACACACAGTCCTCAAAACATAACACAGAGAAAGAGGGATATTTCTGCTCTTTCCTTTTTTCTCTTACTGCTTTTTTTTTTTTTCTCCTTCTTTTTATAATTCCCTCTGTTGTAATGGGAACCCAGTAGAATTAGATGTCAGACCAAATTGTCTAATTTATGGTGTTCAAATGTAATGATCCAAACAAGCTTACACCATGCTGAATGGCTGGTGCCTGTATGTAGTGCACTCTGTGTCTAAAAACTCCTACCATGTTTGTTTTTTTTTCTGAATATTTTAAAGGATAGTTCCTTGTGAACCCTGTGCTGTTTGATTTAAGTGTTAAACATCCTCTGAGTGTCAGTGGAGCAGCCTGAACATGTGGTGGGGCTGCATTTTCTAGGCTCTGACTCAGAAACCTCCCCTATACTCCAGCCCTGCTGGCTAGCCCATTAGACAATCTCCCATTCGATAGCAGCTTCCCACACTCCATTTGCAGCACAAGTTGTCTTTGTAGAGGAATTCTTGGAAGGGTGAGATAAGAGACAGTGTCTGAGTTGCAAAGTTCTGTGGTTGGGGGGCAGTCAGGGGCCTGCCAGCATCAGCAGCCCCATACTGCACTGCAAAGAGGCCCCAACATCCTTGTAAACAGAGACTGGACTCAGGAAACAGGCGCCCAGCAAAGCTCACCAAACATCCTGCCAGGAAACACCACGTTCAACAATATCATCAGCCTGTACAAAACAGTCAGCTCAAGTAAACTTGTGATACACATGGTGTACACCTCAAAAGCCCCTAAACACATGTGCTACACACTCATGCATACAGGACCTGTGCACAGATTTACAATTCTTACATACTCAGAGCACAAGTGTGCATACCACCAAAGCACAACCTGAATGCAAAGGCCAAAGAAGAGTTTGGCACACACCCAATTTTTATGGTACATTTTAACTACAACTTTAATTGGATGGGCTCATCTCCTGAGATGTTTACGGACTAAATTCTCAGACTTAGCCTTCAATGTACACTCTTCCGATGAAATTTTCTCCTGGTCTTGGGCTTGACTCAGCTATAGACAAAGTTCATTACAAAGAACTTCAAAAACGGTGTAAAAATGTTTTGGATAGATAAGGTAAACACTTATTTCATCTAAACCAAACCACACCTGTACATACTCGCATCTGATAATCGTTTGGAGTGGCAACTGAAGCATCATAAAATATATATAATTAAAAACAACAACAACAACAAACCAATCAGTGTGAATGGTTTTTGATAAATACATCAGGGTAAATTCATCTCCTACCCGTATATTACCATGTCTTCAAAGGATTTAGGTACGGTCCTTATAATATGAAGGAGTTAAACAAATGTAGATTTTAAGAGACAATATTTAGAGGGTTATTGTAGTCTTGAGGGTTTGTGTTTGTTTTTCTTTCCCTTGGACATCTGTATCAAGATAGAACATGGGTTAGGCTAGATGTGCTGCCAAAGGGAAGGGTATGTTCATGCATATCTTAGCTGTTACAAAAAGGTGTCAGCAGTGATGGATGGTGGGGGCCTTAAGACTGATGTAGCAAAGGTGCTACATGCAAAGATAGAATATGTTGGTAGAGTTGTGCAGTAGTTATCTTAATGTATTCATAGACTGAATAGTCCATTAAACACTTGAGTGGTGGTGGCATAACAGATACTTCACAGTATTAGGAGATAATGCAAAACCATTCAGATGTTAATGTAGGAATTGCCACATTCCACACTGGTTCTGTTTCCTGCATTTTCACCATCCTGCTCGTGTACAAGTAGAAAATGTTAATAAGAAGAAAAAAATAAGAATTAATGGCAAAATGTATGCCTTCTATAATAAACCTCTCACAATGGTCCCTGGGTGAAATGCTGTCAGCACTTACAGAGGCCACAGCAAGTATGTATTCCAGACATGTAACCCCCTTATTTTAAAATGAAGTCTGCAAACAAGTACTTTGATGTTAATTCCAGCAGTAAGGCTCAGTACTTTATGGTGCTTTTCCAGGAAGGAGATTCTAAAATCTCTACACTTCTACAGAATTTTTCAAACATTAACAGGTAAGCATCACAAATCCTATGACAGGCAAATATTATTTTCCCCTTCATATAGATAAAAGCATAAAAATAACTGTGATTATACAATAAGCTAGCTGCAAAGTTGAGAACAATGCTCAGGAGCATGGAGTCTCAATGTAGTGTATACAGCCCAATGTAGTGTATAAAGTAAAAGAGAAAGCATGGGTGTTAACAGCAGATCTCCCAAATGGTGGGTTTTCATCTCTTTTGATTTGTGAATACTTAAAATTTTCCAGTAACTGATAACTGGTTAATTTTTCTTAACTATCTTAGAAGAATTGCAAACCCTCATCGAAAACTGCTGCTTCAATCAACAGAGATCTGGAGATGTGTGTTCAGAGGGACTATACCCAGGTGGTGCACACAATTATCAGGTTATTTACAAAGACATGGACATCAGGAGCTAAAACCTAGCCATAGAGCTTCAAGGATACCAAACTCACCCAAAGACAGCTTTCCTAAACTTTACCGGTAGTGTTCTCTATTGTTTCTGGTAAGACCTCCTAAGGCTTTAGAGGTAGATTTTTAAGTATGAGGCTTAATTGTTGAAAGTATTCCTCCCAAGCACCTTGGAAACCTCCTTTGCAGAATTATGGCCTAGTAGTCAAGGCTGAATGGAGCTGTGGTACAAATGGAGGGCTGCACAGCACTTACTCTTATATGCAGGGCCAATGAGTACATGTGTGAAAGAGGCTACAGTCTTCTGTGTCTTGTTAGCAACAGAAACCCACTTACCACATCACTGCTTACAGTTAAATGACTCGCAGCCCTGAAATCTCTTCCCTGGTTTACAGCTGTGTAAGCACAGGAGAAGATATGAAAGAGATAGTAAAAATGTGAAAGAAATCCTACCAAGAACAAATGCCGAGGGTGCTTGTTTTTCCCAGAGACTTTCATCAATGTTCCCTCTTTTACAAAGACCTAAAAGGAAAAAAACAAAAACAAAACAAACAAACAAACAAACAAACAAAAAAACACACTTGTAATCCTGAGACTGCATTCTGAAACTTTCTGAGAAAAGAGAACATTCCTCATGTAGAAGGAGGCACTCTTAACTGCTTTCATCAGCCTAGTAACAGATGGATACCTCAACATCTGCTTCTAGCCTGACTTTATGGCTTGCATTTGTATCAGTACTGAATGGCTTGGAAACCCATGTGTCAGACACCAGGCAGTACTCAGCCCACTGCGTCTGCACCATGGACTGCAAGGAGACTGTCACAGATTTCAAAAGTAACATATAAAGGGCTTCAGAAAAGAACTCATTCTCTGATTATGAAAAATAGACAAACTAAAAAGAAATGCTGAAACCTTTTCACATCCATACTATGCCTACATTAAACCTGAGTATGTTTGCAAGCATAATACCTTGTCTGTCCATATTGTTACTATGTGTGTAAACAGGACTGTACAGGTAACCAGCTAAAACAACGTACTCAAACTTAATTTCAATAACATTTGAAAAGGTCTAAAATAATTAAAGCAGCAGTGGATTTACAGACATCTACTCTTTTCTAATGGAGAGCAGGATCTGTTGTAATTTTCTACTCTAGAATTGCGCTGAGGTTTGCAGAATTTATTAATTCACTACTTGGCAAGGACAAGTGAGGATACTGACGTTGGAGGAAAAAATAAGAGGATCACTGCAATGTTTGGTTGATGAGGATTCACAGACTAAGAGTATGCATGCCTTGAAAATTTCTTCATGAGTTTTGTTAAGGACAGTAGTGGGATGAAGGGGAATTTAGGGTTGCAGAACTCTAGAAAGAAATCTTTTCAAGTGTAGAGGCAGGTTGGGCCTGAGGAAACTGGAAAGGTTTGAAAGAAAGGAGGATAAATTTGTATTTGATGTGAATGGCAAGACACAGCTATATAATTTCCCACTTTCTGTTCATGTGTTGCTTAAAAGTGATGTCTTGCATTAAAAGTTGCAAGTTTAGGCTGTGAATTAGGAGATTTCTTCTCAGAAAGAGCAGTCAGGCATTGGAACGGGTTGCCCAGGGAGGTGGTGGAGTCACCATCCCCGGGGTTGTTCAAAGAAAGGTTGGACCTGGTGCTTAGAGATGTGGTTTAGTGGGTGACATTGGTGGTAGGGGGATGGTTGGACCAGATGATATTGGAGGTCTTTTCCAACCTTAATGATTCTGTGATTCTATGAAAAGACTAACTGCAGAATGGTAAGAATAGAAAACTGAAAATAGGTAATTTCCCCTGATTTAGGGATCTAACCTACCCAAAAAAATTTGAGCCTTTCCAGGCTGTAAGGAATTTCTGCTCGTACTTCAAACCTTTCAACAAGAATATGTAAGAAGGAAAACAGCAGCTCCTCCAAAACACACTACATGGGGTGACTGAGGACAGCTGGAGTGAAAAATCAAATAGCCGTTCTGTGTAAAAACGGCTAATGCCTGTCTTTGCAAGTGCAAGGCTCTCAACATGCAGTGCTCCTGAACACTACCAGAGTGATGGCTTTTTACATAAACCAGTGCTACAACTCTTATCACAGTGGGTCAGTAAACAACACCTGTAGATGTCTGAAATCTGGCCATCCACAGAGGCAGAGATAAAGCTGGCCAGAAACAATGTCCTTATCAGCATAGGTCTGCCTGCAGTACTCACCCTTCCTGGCTGGAGGAGGCCCCTCTGCCCCCTCACACTGTACTCAATGTGTACCAGCTTCTGCAGGTTTTCCTAAGAGAGAGAAACAACATTTAGGAGACCACATGGTGATTGCTTTTAGAAAAGCAGGCAAACCTTCCCTCAACCCTCCTCACCATTTTATTTCTCAAACGCATTAAAGTAATATTACTGAACTGGGTTTCAGAGAGAATTGAGCTCATGGAATTTAGGTGCACAAAGTCTTCTTCCAGCCTCATAGGTTTTATGAAACCTTATCACCTGCATTCACATCTGCTTGGCCTTCTACACTCCTGTCATTTTTGATACTTCTTTAGCACTTCCTCTGTACCTCAGTTCACTTTCAAAAGAGCCTGCTTACTCCATGCAGTATTTATACTTTGGTCTCTTTGCTGACTTTCTTTCTCTTGGAACCAGTAAACTGGAAACAGAGACAAAGTATAATATCTGCTCCAAAGGCTTGTTCATTAGTGGCATGACATAGATAATCCAAAGCATGATTTGATACAAGAAGATCATTGCTAGGATTATCTGGAGGTTTATATTCTGTGCTAACAGATTAGTGACTTTGCACTACGGAATCTGGAAGTTAACTAGTAAGCAGGCAATACAGTTGCATCTCTTTTTTGATACTTTGCAAAGATCAGGAAGCCCATTATCAAACTCTGATGCTACTATCTGCCTACTTGACTTGAGAGCACAGACAGTGGGCACTGGCATGTGGCATGAATTTATCTAAAAAGATGGTAAATAAATTTAATCTAACTAAGCTTCTGCTCTCATAAAAAGATTGTATTGGATAGAAGAGGGGTCTGTATATGTGAAATATTGTTAGTCTTTTCAAATCTCCTTCCACTTAGTAGTTAATGCTGCTAAAACCCAAGCTTGTACGTAGGATTCAGCCGTGGTTTTAACTAGTCCAGAAAGTAGAATGGGCTGCACAGCAGCAATCACTAGAATATGTCTAAAAGTTATGTCTCTTTTGTCCAAGTTAGCCATTGTGTCCTAAGTCCTCAGTTACATACACAGAAAAACTACAAACTAAGGACCACATTTTATATACCTTCATCACCTGGAAGCCCTTGACAACTGTTTTCTGCTATGGCAGATAATAGTTTCTTTACCTGTGCTCCATTGACTGTCCTTAAGCTATCCCTGGGCTTAGTTAGACTCTATAGATTAAACAATGTAATCAAGGATATATCTACCTGATTGATACAAATCAGTGGTGCCTATAGAATCAGCTAATTAAGAAAGCTATCACAGATAACAGAAGGAGCACGTCCATATCAGCATGATGGTCTGTCAAGGCTAATATATGCTGGATTTCATCTATCAATTAATGTAGCTATCTCAGCTTGCTTTTTGAGATAAGCCTGAAATACCTGTGTATGTTACTGCTCTGAAGAAATATTACACTTGTTAAACATGATATTAGGTTCAGTAACCACATACCAAACACACTGAAACACCTACAAGCCTTGAGTAACTCAGGGCTGCATTGTGACCATGCAATATAACTGGCAGTTGATGCACTTTCAGCCATCAAGTATCTCTTTTGCAATGCAGAAACTAACAAATGGAATTTTTTAGGTCACTTCAGAAATAATATAGGCTAGCAAAATGGAAACTATATATAAACTAATAGCACAGGAAACACCAGGGATCATAAGACAGCTGAAATTTGCAAAAGAAGATTGCAAAGGTCCCATAACTAAAGGGTATTTTAGCCCTTGCAAAACTTGTCAAATTGACAGCTTCCATAATGAAGCCCCATTCTTCATAGGATGGGTTGGGTTGGAAAGGACCTTAAAGATCATCTAATTCCAAACCCCCTTCCATGGGCAGGGACACCTCCTACCACACCAGGTTGCTCAAAGCCCCAGCCAGCCTGGCCTTGGACACTTCCAGGGATGGGGCATCCACAGCTCCTCTGGGCAGCCTATGCCAATGCCTCAGAAACTGATTAAAGAATTTCTTCCTAATATGTAATCTTAGTCTACTCTCTCTTAGTTTAAAGCTGTTGTCCCTTGTCCTATCACCACATTAAATGACAAAGAGCTCATCCCCAGCTTTCCTGCAGCTCCCTTCAGGTACTGTAAGGCCACTGTAAGGTCTCCCTGTAGCCTTCTTTTCTCCAGGTTGAACAACACCAACTTCGTCAGCCTGTCTTCAAAGGAGAGGTGCTCCAGCATCTTGATCATCTTTGTGGTCCTCCTTTTGATTCATTCTAATAGCTCCATGTTCTTCTTGTGCTGGGGGCCCTGGAGCTGAACGCAGTGCTCCTGGTGGGTCTCACAAGAGCAGAGTAGAGGGACAGAATCCTCTCCCTTGCCCTGATGGCCATGCTGCTTTTGATGCAGCCCAGGGTATGGTTGGCTTTCTGGGCTACAAGTGCGCATTGCTGCCTCATGTTGAGCTCATCCACCAACATCCCCAGGTCCTTCTCCTCAGGGCTGCTTTCAATCCATTCTCCAAGCAGTCCGTATTTGTGCTTGGGATTGCCCCAACCCAGATGCAGGACCTTGCACGTGGCCTTGTTTGAATCTCATTAAGTTCATACAGGCCAACCTCTCAAGCCTGTCCAGGGTCCTCTATGTGGCATCCCTTCCCTCACAGGTTGGTGTTGTCAGCAAACTTGCTGAGGACACTCAACCCCACCTCATATCCAGAAGAAGCAGTGTCTTCTTGTGAGTACACTCCCGGTAAGTGTTAGTAGTACTCAGTGGGGTTTCTACAAGAGAGAGGGGAGAACTCAGTTGCTGCAGATCAAACACACCACAGCTTCTCTGAGGACTTCTGGTAGGGGTGCCTGTAATAATGCTGACTTTTGCAATATAGACACATGTTCACCAGGAAATGGACAGAGATGTATCAGACTCATTTCCTGTAGGAAGTCAAATGATCATCACACGTGAAGGACTGTGATTTATCTGGAAATGTAAGAAGCTGAGGAGGACATAGTTTTCTTATGGCTCCCTAAAAAAACTCTTTATATAGTTTTCTTCATTTTGCTCAAAACTCCGATCATTCTCCTTTCAAATACCCTTCACAAGCAATGATTCAAAAATGAAGACAAAGCTCCACCCACTTAGTACTGAAGATGTGGGGTGACTGAAATCCTTCTCTAAACAGGTTAGCAGTGGACTGCAACTTCCATGAGGCAAGGAATATATTTTCATAGTGTCTATGAAGGGGCTCTGCATCCCAAAGAAATTCACCAGCTGTTAAGAGCAACAATGATTTACAATTCTCAGCATCTCAGGGCCTCTAACAGGTTGTAGAAGTTCAGAGAGCAATGCAAACCCTGTTTAGTTCAAGTAGTGAATGTCTCCTAGAGTTACAGATATACTTAGTACTATGTGGTGATGATATGCCTTATGCCTCTGTTTATGTATCTATGAATTGCAAATAATATTTTTCTACTTGATAAAAATGCTATGGAGATAGCTAATATAACAAAGTATCTGAAAATCCTGGGTTAATAATTCTGAGGGGAAAAAATGCTGTAGTGTTATTACAAAGCAAAAAAGCTAATAATGAATCTTTGATATTCTGCAGAAAACATAGATAATAATTCAGTGTTCTTGTCAGATTTTTGGACTGTAGTTTGATGAGTTAATAAATGGTAGCAGAAATCTTCCTCTTTCCAGGTACATGTCAAATCTAAATTATTACTTCGAACATCAGCTGGGTATATGCCAAGTTATAAATGTTCTATATTGACTGACACTGTTCAGTTTGCTCTATAATTAGAGTCATTTTTTAAATTCTTTGCATTTTTGAAAATCTGAGAGAAAGAACAGAATTGCTGGTTATGGATTTTATGTATGTTATATTAATTCAGGAGGACAATCTCTGATTTAACAGAATACTGAATTTTGATTCTCATGAACAGGCCTCTTCTCAAAACCCGCAGCATTCACACAGATGGGAAAAAAGGAAACTTTATTTCATCTCTTCTAGGCCATAGCTTCAAAAAGAGCAGATGTGCTCTGATGATATGATAAAAATGAAGTGTAAAAATCAATGTGGAATGTGTGATGAATTTTTTCCAACACGGTCATTATTAATAGCAATTATCAATAAAGTCTATTGCATCCGTAAAACTCAGAGGATATAGTGATGTTCTTCAAATGAAAGCATATAATCATTGCACAGTAATGCAACACAGTAAATGTAAGTCTATCCCTCAAAATATGGAAGAGCTACAAGCTAACCACTACCACTTCAAATGAAGCTCTATGTTCCTTAGCCATAGACATCAGGGAATCTGTATTTGCCCCTTTGACAGCTTTTGCTTACTACCAAATTTAATTCCTGCATGGCTTGTGAGGTGCCTAGAACAGAAGTAGGGAACAGAATTTAGGTGAAATCCAAAATTGGGATATTTGGTTTAAATCAAAGACCATGGTACAGCAAAAACAGAATTCAAACTTTCATGACCATTTTCGCCAGTAATATAACTCCAATATAACTTCAATGCAATATGCAATGGATATCTGATCTTGACCACTTATGTAGACATGCAACTTCAGAAAAAATATTCATACAAATCTTCCATGTATTTGAATAAAATCTAAAGAAGCTGAGGTGTCAGAAAAAGATGTGGAACTGATAGGAACTGAGTTCTTGCATTTCTTAGCCTCCAATATGGGTGTTCCTTAAAGCTCTGAGATTACTGTGGAAACTTGTCCTGAGATCTCAGTTTTATGATGAACTATTTGTTATATTGGTACAAATAATTATGTATTTATTAATGGAAAGTACAACTGTAAATTCTTTCCCTGAGGAGATAGAAAATCAAATCCGTTGAATCCTTTGCTAAGTAAGTACATGGTTTCAGAGTCAATCTGTAAAGTGACCAGATTACGTTTCTTCTTATGTTAAAATTTAAGCTTGTTAGACCACATCCACCCTGTAATCTACATGTGTTCATTTGACTTGGTAACGGTGTAGTGTTTATATAGTAACTAATTATTCATTATTGTCGAACATCTTGGAAACAGTCTGTATAAAACATCATTTCCATGCATCTTGCTTTTCTGCTACGCTTCTTTCTCTCTCCTTTCCATCTTCACCATTTTGTTCGGCTGTAATGCAACTACCATTTCATCTGCAAAAATTTCTTTGCCAACTTTTGTCCCCATCCTACCTAACCATAATGGCTGATGACAAAATAGTTTGTACTGAGAGCTAAAGTGTCTTTAAATAAACTTGAGAGTAAATTACCAAAGAGATCAAGAGTAGCTAAAAGTTTACACTTATCAAAGGTGTTCATGCTGCCTGCTTGCTGAAGCAGAGAGTGTGCTGCTTTGCTTACACATGGCTCATATTTGGAACTTTTCCATAGCAATCAGGGGAAGAAGTGCTGTCTATAAAGGAAGGCTTGGAAGGTTTTGGATTGTCATGGAACCACATTAACACAGCAATTGGGCTGATGTTACTGTGTGAAAGGGAAACGTGTTCTGAGCTAGATGCAGCAGGACAGTGTGGGGTGAAGCCTGAAACAGAAAAGTGGAAATGGACTTAATGGACTTAAACCAAATCAGTAGGTCCAAGCTTTTTTGAAGTTTGCATTGAGTGATAATGTAGATCTGAAAAGAAATCTACTAGTTGGGCTTCATGTTGATCTGTGGTAATTTTGCCAAAGACTTCAGGAGAAGCAGGTTCAGAACCTTGATCTCAATTTCTAGCTATCAGAAGGGAAAAGAGGCAGATCCATGAAGACAGGTTTCCCTACTCAGGAAATAATAAATAGTTTTAACTACAACTTATCTCTTTCTGATATAAATATTACAAGATTTTATTTTTTTCCCTGTCTCTGGCCACGAGGATATCATCACTGAACCTGGTACTCTAAAACAGCCTGTGAACACATGGGCTGCATTTATGACCTTGGCACACATATCAGAGACACGGATTTTAAACCCGCACAGCAGGGATGTTCAGATGTGAGCAAAAGTTGACATTCTTGGCTTTTGGGTTCATCTGCTGCAAGCAGATGCTTCTACTTCTCTCAACAGAGCATGAAAGCTTCAGTTTTAAAAGTTGAAGGGCACCCTGGATTTTGAGACTCTTTCATTTTTACCTCCTGAGCTGCTGCAAAGAACATGCTTCATCAAGTTGACCTACTACATTTTTACCATGTCACACAGTCTGAATTCATTGCCTCACCCAGTGCCTTCATTCCCCATACAGAAGACAAAGGCATTAATGGAAACATGCTGAGCCAGAAGTGCTGGTATGTGGTTATGGTGGCCCCCCAGCATATGTCTTTCCCTATCAGTTCCTGTGCATTCATTCTTTCACCTTTAAAATCCTACCTGAAAACAAATTCTTACTAAGGTGGGTTGATATTTCGTTGCATTTCTTTCCCTTGTTCTCATTAACGCTTATGTGTTTTTCATCTTTGTCCCTTTGATTTTGTGTTTTGGTGTCTGAGTGATTATTAACTACCCTCTCTCTGCTCAGTAAATGAAATAATTAAGTGACTTGACTGCCAACTGTAATTAACCATAGGAAAGGGTGTTTGCAAAGCTGGAGACCTTTAATTTAGCAAAGGCACAACAAAATCCCAATACAGGATGTTAGAGTCAGAAATGTAGGTACTTTTCACTAACTACTTCAGGTGGATGCTAGGTCTGTGCAACTGAAGTTGAAGGTCTGCAAACATTAACCTCAGGAGAGAATTTAGCTGCAGGTGTGGGTGGCTAGTATAACAAAATGAAAGACACTGCCTTTAGTTATGATATCATCTGGATGTCCACCAAGTTAGATTCCTCTGGAAGTTAGATTCCTCTGTATTCTTCTGCATCCCGTGTCTGGCAATCTCTGTGCTGTCTCTATGCCTCCTAACACTGCTTATTACTAATGTCAGTAGCAAAACTCTTGTCATCTTACCTAAAAATCAGACCTAGATCCTTGGAAACAAATAGTCATAAGACTAGCTATGTGCAGGCTATCTTTGCCTGTAAATTAGGACTCTAATATCATGTGAGAGGCATTAGTAAGTCACAGTGACCTTATTGGAACTGTTAATTTCTTTGGTGAACTATATAACTTATTTAGATATCTATATCTAAATTTAGATATGAGCTGTAACCTATGAAAGTCTTAGTCTATTTGACTGAACATTTGCAAGACTATAAGCCCAGACCAATTCTTCTGAAGTAAAATAGGATTCCAGAATGGTAGAAAACTTACATACATGAGCTCAGAATGTATCTTTGACAGCACATTTTTGATGTCTTCAGCATTTCATATCTAAAACCATCCCGGACTAGTAATAGAACCATGAAAATTCCCATCTCTCACTTCATTGCACCATATGCCATTTTGGAAATCCTAAGAGGAAGAAAAACTTTGTGCTGCTTCCTACAGTGACTTACATCTTGTACAGCTGCACTAAAGGGCATAGACCTGCTCCATATCTGCAGTGCTCTAAGCCAGACCTATATAAACTTGAGATTCACCCTGGAGGAGGTTTCAGAATTTATCAGATACAGATACATTTCATCAGATGTGCAGAAAAAACACTATTGATTAGGAGAGAGTGCATCATGATAGGACTCACCCCTTGGAGCATGCTCTCGTTGGCTCGGTCTGTGATTTCAGAAACAATGAACAAGGCAGCTGAGGGGTGAAGCAAAGCAAAGACCACAAATCATATAAGAGAGGAGGAAAATAACCCCAGTCCTTTCTGTTTACAAGGACATCTTTAATAAAAAAACAACCCTCCAGCAGCAGCAGCTCCTTAAATATTTCGGCACCACTAGGATGCAAATGCCCAGTAAATTTAGGACCCAGAAGAGTCATCCTGTTGTGCAAAGCTCTGCATCATGCTTGTGTTGACCAAGAGAGCTCATGAGGTTCCTTTTAAGCACAAAATCTTTTTGTAATGTTTTCTAGTTGCAGATTTTTGACATTTGGAGTTTGTGGTGGAGAGAGATTCATGTAATCCATCGTCAAACATCTAAAAGCATGGCAGTCAAGGTGGCTTGTTTCCCCTTACTACCAAGAGAGAGGACAGGCCATCCCTTTCTGACTGACATGTGTGACATAAGTTCTGGCTTCTCCACTGGCAAAAAGCCTGGGCCTGGACATATTTGCTGGCCTTGAGGGCATGTAGTGGGTTTATGTGGCAAGGTTTTGGTAGCAGGGGGCCATAGGGGTGGTTTCTGTGAGAACGATCTAGAAGCTGCCCCATGTTTGGGAAGGGCCCCATTGTTTTCCAGAGCTGAGCCAATAAGCGATGTTGTTTTGCGCCTCTGTGAGAGCATATTTAAGACAGGGAAAAAAACGCTGCGCCACACAGCAGCTGGGAGAGTCAAGGGAGTGAGGAATGGCCTTGCAGGCGCCAAGGTCAGTGTAGAAGGAGGGGGAGAGGTGCTCCAGGCGCCGGAGCAGAAGTCCCCTGCGGCCTGTGGTGAGGACCATGGTGAAGCAGGATGTCCCCCTGCAGCCCATGGAGTACCATGGTGGAGCAGGGTTCCATGCTGCAGCCCGTGGAGGAGACCACGGTGGAGCAGGTGGCCCTGCACCGATGGAGGCTGCCGCCTGTGGAAGACCCCTCCCTGCCGGAGCAGATTCCAGGCCGGACCTGTAGCCCATGGAGAGGAGCCCACGCAGGAGCAGGTGACCTGGCAGGAGCTGCTGCCCGTAGGGGAGCCAGGTGGGAGCAGTTTTCTCCTGAGGGATGGACCCCGTGGCACGGACCCATATCTGGAGCAGTTCTGGAAGAGCTGCTGCCTGTGGGAAGCCCACGCCAGATCAGTTCATCAAGGACTGCATCCCATGGGTGGGACCCCACAGCACAGGGGACGAGAGTGACCGAGAAGGAGCGGCAGAGAAGAAGTGCTGCAGACTGACCATAACCCCTGTTCCCCCGTTCCCCTGCGCCGCTCGGGGGGAGGAGGTGGAAGAGGGTGGATGGGGGGGGAGGTGCTTTTGGTTTCTTTCCTTTGTTTCTCACTACTCTAGCTTGTTAGTAATGAGCAATAAATCTTACTATCTCCTTATGCTGAGTCTGTTTTGCCCGTTACAATAATTATTGTGTGATTTTCTTGTCCTTATCTCAACCTTTGAGCCCTTTTCACATATTTTCTCCCCATTCCTCTTTGAGGAGGGGGAATGAGAGAGCGGCTGTGGTGGAGCTCGGCTGCCCACTCGAGCGGAACCACGACAGGGCAATGGCATAACATACTTTAGGTCCTTATCTCAGATCTCATTTTCTCCTGTGGAACAGGGCATCCTACCCATTTCCAGGTCTAATCTGGGAGCATGCTACCTGTTGCTGGCCAGAAATGTGACAAGTGTGCTAAGGACAAAGAAGATAGGCAAATGTGGCTACAGGGCTTGAATGTCTGCCCTGGCTCTGTTTAAATTACTGCTATAGCTATAATCATTGTCAGTGACAAGGGTCCAAAATTTTGCATGATATACTACTCTTGGTCAGAACAGAATGACCTTTAGTCAGTCTTAGACCTTCTTGCTGTGAGTTGCTTTGTATTCACATTCACTATGACAATAGGTGCACTGGTTTCATTAATACACTACTATTCTTATTTCATCCTGGAAGCTATTCCCACTCAAGCCCAGGCTAAACCTCCCTTTGACTTCAGTGGGAGTAAGACATTTGTGCTTTATCCATCTGATGTGGTGGGAAAGATGGTGTTAGCAACTGAACATCTGGATTTGTTCTTGATTGAGCAGAACAGATCTTTATGTAATGTCTTACAAGTTTACTTAGACTTAAGGAATACAGAAGACAGATACATGATGTCTTCAAAGTTCTGAGAGAACATCAGGTGTACCCAGGATAATGATATCCAAACAAATGGGTGGACCAATCTCAACTGGTTTTACAACGACCAGGTCAAGCACAGGTGGAGCCAAAGAGGTCTAGGATTTTCCAGGTGACTGGGGCTGAAGTACAACGTCAGCACCATGCTTATATACAAGATCATTTCTTCTTCTGTAAGTTAATCATGTCAAAACTATTGGAAGCCCACATATTTCATTGAGAAAAAAAGATAGCATTCTAAATGATTCTAAATGATTCATCTAAATTAGTAGTAAGTTCTTGTAGACCTTACATCTAATTTATAAATACAAAATCTTGAAAATAAACCTGTTCCATATATTTGCAATACAGATCCTGCACCTCTTTAGAAGCAGAGTTAGTGCAGCAGAATTTTTGTTCTACCCATTTCATTTTACCTTGTGTGGCTTCATACTCTGTAGAATCAGGACAAAGATTATTCAAGTAATCTGTAGAAAACAATCAAACACAGACATCCAATAATTAGAATTCAGATCCACATAATCTGTTGTTGGATTAGCTAAAACATAAAATCCTAATGTCCTGTATCACTTTATTCCCAAATAATTAAGTTTATATTGCCTCTTTCCAAAGTGAAACATCTTCAACTGCATTCTACTTTGAGAATCAGTGCAAGAGCATTGATTCAGACATGGACTCACCACATAATTTTTGGCAGGTATAAACCAACAGAGTGACAATAATATTTCCTGGTTTCTCTGCCAAAAGAATTGCTGAGTAGCACCATTTGACAAATAATTGTTCTTCTCAGGAATTCTAGGTTCCCATCTGAATGAATGGTGTTGGCTACAATGACCTATTTTCTCTATTAATATAAAATTTATTACATGAATTCTGTAGACACAAGAAAGAGAGTGGTTCTGTACATGCAGAGTTCAATGATTACTTCTGAACTCCATCACATTCTAAAAAATAGGACTTGCATTTACAGGAATTATTTTTGCATCATCTACAGACCTTTAACTTGTCAGCTTTATTTGCACTGTTTGACTTTAGGGATATGGTTTAGTGGGTGATATTGATGGTAGGGGGATGGTTGGACCAGATGATATTGGAGGTCTTTTCCAACTTTAATGATTCTATGATTCTATGATGAATCATCTGTATGTTTTTGTCTGGGCCTTTATTCCTTTAATGGCTGTACTATATGAGCGCCACCATTTTTAAAGCCTAATCATGAAATACTTTTTTCTTATCTCTCTGATTAATCCAAGCTCCTAAATTCTGCATCCAAGAAACAGGCCCATGGGCTGGAAATTGTGATGCTCATGGATATCCATTCCCTTGAAAGTCCTATCCATATGTGTTGCTCTTTCTGGTGCTATTCTCTCCCTGAAGCCCCCAAATCTGCTTGGCTTCAGTAAAGTGTCTGCCTGCACTCAGGCAGACAGGAAGGGGTTTTGCAGTGCTATCAGGCAATATTTAGCATTGCTTTTTACAGCTGCAAGCTCTGTCCTTGGTTACAGACATTTAACTGAGTGGGCAACTCCTTTTGGCTGTAGTACAGTAACTGGCAACCAATATCCTGATAAAATACCCTTCTTTATCTGGTAGAAACAGCCAGTTATGAACACAAAAAAACACCTGCTTTTTTATTTTTATTTTTTTATTTAACATCACTTAGAGAATTTGAAGGATTGCACTGTTCCAGACTCAACCTGTCCTAGCAGCCAAAGAAGGGCTTGGTTTCATGAGGTGAAGAACTGTAGTAGTAGCTATTTTCTGGAACATTTTGAACCAGCACACCTTATCCCAGAGCACACAAAAGCTTTCATTTTTCCAGTTAGTGCCAGTACCTGGGCACTAAGGAAAAGCTCAAGTTGCTTCAAGCATGGAGGGAACGTCCAGCCACTGAAGCTTCACTCAGACTCTTCCAGCTCTCTCACAAAATACAGTGCTTCATGTTTGTAATTTGCCCCATGGAGCACAGAAATGGACAGAGAAAATGGTGGGGGTATTTCTGACAGGGATGTGACAAGTCCATTTCCTCAGAGGCATTGTTTGTGTGCATGCACTAAAAACACTGTAAGTATCATGTGAGACAACTAATTTCTGCACTGCACTCGTCTGGAAAGTTGCCCTTAATGTAGACACACCCAGGGAGGGAAGCAAGTCAGACAGAGAAAAAGTCCTACTATTGGCATCCGGTGTTCATTTGTATTGCTGCTACTAAAAAAGAAAAGAACAGCTGTGAAAAATGAGTTGCGTCCTTGATCAAAGTGTCTAGAGCAAGATGAAACTGCTGCTAATAGTGCTGTGAATAAAAATTCATATGGTCCCTTTGTTCTACCGTGTTTATAGGAGTCTCTTCTAATATGCCGTACATTTCATCAGCTGTTCAGTATGGGCAGGATTTATAGCTTCCTTTTTACCGTCCCACACATAACTCATCTTGCATCCCTCTCCACCCACACATATACATACTCCTGAAACATTTCACCATCTTTATGTCTATGGATCCCTCCTTTTGTGTTTCAATCTGACAAAATTACATGACAAGACTGAGATTCATTGGCTACATTTCACCATTTCCTTCCATAACCAGTTCATTAGTAACAAACCTGAACTTCACAATTTTTTAGGGCACGCATCCTGCTCCAAAAAGACTGCCCTCTTCACAGCCTTGGCCTTGCTATATTTGCAGTGGCTTGCACAGAATAAGCCACTGGGGAGAACAGAACCACCCACCTTGGAGAGAGTCTGGGTAGGAGAAATATATATGTAAAGTGAATATAAAGGGAAGTTTTTACTGTAAATGTAAGATCTGTAAATGTACTGTTAGTGTAAATCTGGATCTCTGCCTCCTAGGCCATGGAGAAATTGGGTTGCCTTAGGTGTACTGTACATGGTGCTCAGGGTGCAGTACAGGGTACAACTGCTTTGTTGATGGAGGAAGAGGACATGGTGCTTGCCAATGTCATATAGGATACAGTGCAGACTGCCTCCCCTTGCTGGGGACTACTGTGCCCTGCTACCTCTGATAATTGCCTCTGATAATTGCTCTTGACATACATAAAATCAAACCTGTCTGCTGGCAGCAAGGTTCCTAAGTTTTGCCTCTCCTAACTCATGGAAGGGAAAAGCCAGGAAGGAATGGCTAAAAGCATCTGACTTCACACTTTTTAGTGACCTTTTAGTATGGCAGTGCTGAAGAAGTGCCAGGCTCTCTGAATCCTGTATTACGGAGATTGAAGTTCCCGGGAAATCCCATGCAGCTCCAGACCTAATTTAGAGTCATGGCATCAATGTGTAGCACAGGCCAACATGGGACGGTTTCCACTGAATACCTTTGAGAATGATTTAGTTTTACTGACCTGTGAGCAGAACGCGATATTGGAAGACACGCTGCACCACTTTCAAAAGCTGGTGTTTCACACTCTGTGGGCTTCCACCAGAGCTCTTCTGTCCTCAAGGGAAAGGAGAGGAAACACAAAGATCATGGATGTGTGAACTCAGCAGCAAACTGTCACCTCCTCCACCTGATGCGTCCCCTTGATATTTTGCTAACAAATGCACATATTCTATTGAACCATTCTCAATTAACCAAGTCCCTAAGGGGTATTTGTAACTCTAAAGAAGTACTTCTAACAATTTATTTTCTATGGCATCATTTGAAAATAGTTTGGATTCAGAGGGAAAAGGAAAGAAAGTGAACACCATTTAGAAGGTAAACGTTGGATAAAGATTGTAGGGTGGCATATAAAGAGCCTGAAGTATCAGATCTCAGTGAAGCTTGTCACTTTTGTTGTTTTTTTTTTGATTAAAGTTTGTTCTGTTTGCAAATTTTTAGTATCTTATTTCAAGACATGGAATTGAGCAGCATATAGCAAAGCACTTTTCTGTGACGGAGTTGGAACTGAGTGTCTGGAAAGTGTTTACAACAGAACAGAGGGAGCTTGTGATCTAATACACACATGAAGAAGTAACATTTTTCTCTTTTCTTTTTCCCTTTAGATTCAACCCACTGCATATGGCCTCATAAGGTCTTATTTAAAATAGGAAACTTGCTGTGTATCTGTTAAACATTGCAACACTGCTGCAAAACCAACAGCAATCCACAAAACTCAGTCCTTAAAAGCCTCCATCTCCAGAGGCACCAAGAAGCAGAAGCTTGCCAGGACCTGAGCGGAATGGCACAAAACACAGCTGGTTCTTTATGAGGTCTGAGTCTGAAAGCCAGTCAAGTCTCACAGGGTTTCAATGCTCATCAACCAAAACTTCTGCAGTGTTTGCCACTTGTGAAGGGAGACAGGACAAAAGGGGGAATAGGAATCTTAACTGTTTAAAGGAAGTCTGGGAAGAAACAGTATTTTCTCAGGCAGAAAAGATGTTTCATGTTACTGTATTACTCCTCTAACTGACTGACTGCTCTTACTAAATGTGCATTCAGGGTAGTGCTGAGCATTCCCAGCCCCCATACTCAATTCAAAGGTAACAGAAGCAAGATGAGGACCTAAATTCTTTTTTGTTAGACTAGGAAGCTAATAGTGGCCATGTTTTTAAAAATGCTAAATAGAAAAGGTCTGATAGACACCTAACCCAAATTTGTGAGTGTGTGCATGCAAAAGGTCAAGAAGTAACAGAGCTCACTTATTCTAGATTAAAATCCTGATGATCTCATCATAGGTGAAGCTCTAACTGCTTTCTTAGATATAAGAGACAGTTTTTAGGGTTGATATTTAAGACAGAAGTCCACAGACGTGACCAGGAGGGATGCTAGGAATACTGATCATCAGTAGAAAACCTGCGTTTGACAAGCTCATGTTCATAGCAGTATGAGCCATCAGAGCTACCCTCACGTGCTAACAGGAAATTAATGTGGTGACTACAAGGTATCTGTTTGTAAATGCTGACTTCCAAATGTCTTTTGAAATCAATTGTTATCCTTAACGTTTCACATGTGCTGCAGAGAAAAACACAATCCATACTCCTTAGAGCTGGTACTCTAAATAACCCTTAAGGTCCAATCACTAACTTATCCTGCAGACCCTCTTACACCCAAGTAATTGTTATTTCTTTGACCAGATAAAGATAATAAGAAAAATGGATTCTGGATAAACATTAAAGCAGCATTTCTTTGACCGTTTTAGCTCAACAGTATTAATATAGCCCCATTGAACTTTCCATCCACTTATGGCTTTACACTTTTGAAATGATGTGGACCATCCACATTGCCAATATCTTAAAATGCTATCAGGAATTGTGGCTTCAGTTTCTGTCAGTTGCATTTTGATGGTGTTTTTCAGTCACTCAACAGGGATGAGTTAAGTTACCACAACTGGAAAATATGTTTCTTGCTTAGCAGTACAAGCCAAAAGGTTACAGACCATTCAGGGAGGTCTGAAGGAATAGAACCTTGTATTTGGCTAGTGGAGGTGGTGTCTTCCTCTGCAGTTCAATTGGCTGCCTGTCACAAGATCCTCTGTAAACAGAGGAAGCAGTAACAGGCATTTAAAAATGCAGAGAAATGCAATTCTAAAGATGCTGTGGGTTGACCCCAGCCAGCAGATAAGCACTCACGCAGCCTAACCCTAACATTCATCCTGGCCAGACCCAGCACAAAAGAAAAGATGGAAAATGCAGTGAAAGAAGAATAGATAAGGAGACACAGTAACAATAACAGTTATTAACCCACCCTCAGATGGACTGAAATGTTAAATATATGAATGAGAAACTATTCCACTATCTGCATATATTTCAACAAAATATATTCATGGATCTGTGGACTCACAAACATATATTCTGTATCACAGGGGAGCGTGGGGAACAGATGCAGACACAGAAGCACATCATGCACATGTGAACATCTTACTTCATTTCTATCAGCAGGATGTGTGAGGAGAGCTATTCTCCCATTCTACCCTCTGAGAACACTGGTGGAATTGCAGAAAAAATGCCTTGAGTAAGTCCTGTGGTACAGCTATACGTCATTGCAGCTAAAAAAACAGAAGGGCCTTACCTCAAACTCCTGAATGATGGTAGCCAGTTGGGAATATTTATGGCAAGTTTCATCTAGCAAAGCCAAATTCCTATCAAACTGTATAATATAAGCTGTGTGGTGATTCAGCCTTGATTTTCTGGAGAGAAAAACATCAGCAACTTTCTGGTGTTCCTCCCTAGGGCCACAGAAAGAAAAAAAAAAAAACAAAAAACAAAAAACAAACGCAAACAAAAATTAAAGAAAAGCTCTGCTTCTTTCTCATTGCAGCAGTTCTATTCATCAGACCCACAGTGGCCAGGTACATCGTGCAGCTAAAGCCTAGGTTAAATGGCAGGAAGTAGGAAATACTTCCCAAACACACTGGACAACAAAATGGGCTGCTGTAGAACAGGCACCTTGAGGTGTCAATCTTTTGGCTGTGCTAGTGCCATGACAGACATATGTGTCTGTAGCACGCAGGCTGTCTACTTTCTGGACACAGCTTCTGCTTCTCTGAACAGACCTTTCAGCTGCTGCAGGGCTTTGAGCACTGATTGTGGAGGATAGCATCATGTCTTCAGTTGTAATATTGTATCTTCATTCCTTCTTCATTGCACCCTGCTCAGCACCAACCTGCCATTGGCTGCCTCAGCACCCAGCAGCACAGTACTGAATTATTTATGAAGCATATCGCAGAATCACAGAATCATTTAGGTTGGAAGAGACCTCCAAGATCACCTTATCCAACTTATGACCTAACACTAACAAGTCCTCCACTAAACCATATCACTAAGCTCTACATCTAAACGTCTTTTAAATACCTCTAGGGATGGTGACTCCACCACTTCCCTGGGCAGCCCATTCCAATGCCTCACAACCCTTTCAGTAAAGAAGTTTTTCCTAATACACAACCTAAATCTTCCCTGGCACAACTTTAGCCTATTCCCCCTCATCCTGTCACCAGGCACATGAGAGAATAGACCAACCCCCACCTCGCTACAGCCTCCTTTAATGTACTTATAGAGAGCAATAAGGTCGCCCCTGAGCCTCCTTTTCTCCAGGCTGAACAAATCCAGCTCCCTCAGCCGCTCCTCTTAGGACTTGTTCTCCAGAATCACAGAATCACAGAACTGTAGAGGTTGGAAGGGACCTCGAAAGATCATAAGGTCCAACCCCCCTGCCAAAGCAGGTTCCTCAGAGCCCTCACCAGCTTTGTTGCCCTTCTCTGGACTCGCTCGAGCACCTCCATGTCCTTCTTGTAGTGAGGGGCCCAAAACTGAACACAGTACTTGAGGTGCGGCCTCACCAGAGCCGAGTACAGGGGGACAATCACTTCCCTAGACCTGATGGCCACACTGCTTCTTATACAAGCCAGGATGCTGTTGGCCTTCTCGGCCACCTGAGCACACTGCTGGCTCATATTCAGCCGACTGTCCACCAATACTCACCAATACTCTGCCAGGCAGTTTTCCAGCCACTCATCTCCCAGCCTGTAGCGCTGCTTGGGATTGTTGCGCCCCAGGTGCAGGACCCGGCACTTGGCCTTGCTGAACCTCATACAGTTGGCCTCAGCCCATCGGTCCAGCCTATCCAGATCCTCCTGCAGAGCCTTCCTACCCTTGAGCAGAACGACACACGCACCTAATTTGGTGTTGTCTGCAAACTTACAGAGGGTGCACTCGATCCCCTCATCCAGACCATCAATAAAGATATTAAAGAGGACTGGCCCCAATACTGAGCCCTGGGGGACGCCACTAGTGACCAGCCTCCAACCGGATTTAACTCCATTCACCACAACCCTCACCAGCCTTGTTGCTGGAGGGGGTGTCAAGGGAACACTGTGTCATAGAGGTTATGTTAACGCTGTCAGGCTGTGCCATTCCTTACTTACCATTTAAGAACTCTTTCTTCCAGCTCTCCCAGGATCTCTTGGTGTAATTCGTAAATCTCAGAGAGTTCACTTAAGCCCTGCTTGAGTTCAACCACTTCCTGTTCATCTTCTCCAAGCACTTTGATGATACCTTCATATAAATTCTGTGAATAGCAACACAGAAATTAGGCAGTCAGACATAAAAATCTCTTCTATGAAATTATTATTGCAATTTCTTGAACCCTAAACTCCACTTTCTAGGAATTCTACGTTACGCTATCCAAAGTTATAGATTGTACTCAGTAGAGCAAGGAGATAATACCATATATTTTATTGCATCCATTAGTTCATACACATTTTCATCTGATTCCACAACGCTGTGAACACAAAATTTAACATTTCACCTGGCCAAGCCATCAGACCCTTATGTATACAATGAGTTTGTTATCTTTTTATTTACCTTCATCTTTTTCCCCTGCTTTTTTGGGTGTAGTTGATCTCATTTTCTAGTGTTTCTTAACCAGAAACATAATTTTAAAAAATGAAGAATGAGTATCTGATTTCACCTTATAGGTCCATGACATATATATATATATAAAACCTTCTACATGTCTTGTGTTGAAAATTGCTGCACTTGTCGCCAAATCCAAATTTAAAGGGAGGAAGAAGCAGTAAGTTTAAGCTATGAAACAAGTAATTTTCCATATGAAACTGAGACCTTTTTTCCTCATTTTAGACATGCCTTTGATCCTGTGTGCACAGGAGTAATTTCCTCAATATTAAAATGTATTCACCTCTGGAAAGGGTTCTAGCTGACAGCAGACTCAACATGAGCCAGCAGTGTGCCCTGGCAGCCAAAAGGCCAAACTGCATTTTGAGGTGCATTAAACACAGCTTAGTCAGCTGGTCAAAAGAGGCGATTCTCCCACTATATTTAGCATTGGTGCAGCCTCACCTTGAATATTCCGTGCAGTTCTGGGCTGCACAATCTAAAAAAGATGTTAAGGTCCTTGAAAGCATCCAGAGGAGGGCAACAACGCTGGTAAAAGCGCAGGAAAGCATGTCCTTTGAGGAAAGGTTGAGGATGCTTGGGCTGTCTGGAGAAGGCCAAGAGGCGACCTCCTTGCTCTCTGCAACTCCCTGAGGATGGGAAGCACAGAGGCAGACACTGGTCATTGATGACAGGACACATGGGGAATGGCACAGAGATACACTGGGGGAGGTTTAGACTGGACGTGAGGAAAAATTTCTTTACCATGAGGGTGGTCCAACACTGGAACAGGCTTCCTAGCAAGTCAGTTGATGTCCCATGCCTGTCAGTGTTACATAGGCATTTGGACAATGCCCTCATTAACATGCTTTAATGTTTAGTTAGCCTTGAAGTGCTCAGGCAGTTGGACTTTGTAGGTAGATGATATTTGTAGGTCTCTTCCCACTGAATTCTACTCTAGTGTAGTCTAGTGTAGTCTACCATAGTCTAATCTAGTCTAGTCTAGTAAATAGTAGCACACTTTTTTAAGACTTCATAGTGAAATGTTTCCCCAGTTTAGACCTAGAGATGAGGAATAAGGCATCCATCTGAAACTGCAGGGATAATTTGTATTAGATTCACAGGGATTAGAAAATCATTCCAAGCGCATACAGCAATTTTTTGTGTGTGTCTAAAACATTGCTTAATGTCTCCTTAATCCAGAGCTCTGGATGCTGAAATGTTTCCAGGTCAAAGCCAGATTCCTACACAATCCATCTTCTCAGCTTCAAACTTGTGAAGGTGCTCTGGCTGGCACCTGGATATACCTCAAGAGACTTTAGCCACTCTGATGCCCTGATTCTTTCCAGGTTCCTACCAGCCACTGCTGTTTCCTCTGCCTCCTGCTGCTAGATGCATTCCCTCCTTACAGGCAGTGGCAAGAGGAACTGAGACATTTAGAGCTGCCTGACTTTGCTGAAGTCTGCAATGCAAACCATGGCAGTAGGATCTAAGGCAATGCACAACACTTCAAGGCAGAAACGCCAGCACTGTAGAGGTATTCCTAACTGTTGCTAACAAAGGCAGATTCTGGCTGCCTTTGCCGCAAGCTAGACCACTGCAACCACATAGTTTATCTTCATAGCACTATCTGGCGTTCAAAAGCAGCAGCCTTCATTTGGTAAAATTAAGTGGCTGTAATTTCAACACCTGGTTTGTCAGTATTGCTACAAAGCGAAACTACAAGAATAGCACTGGCATAGTATCCTGCATTTTTCTGGGGATGATTCTGCAGCACTGTTACAGGTTTAATTCTTCTCTGTATTCATTGCAAACAGATGACTGAGTCAGGCCAGTGTGTTGGGCAGGTCAGCTGGGCTTACAGTTGAATTTTGCATTTCTGCTAGTCAGGTATCCACAGGCAAAACATCTGAATCTCAGTTTCTCTATGACAATAATTGAACAATTAGAAACCTACGTGCCTCCCAGTTTGTGATAAGAGCAGAAACTGAGCAGTCATATAGCAAGGCCCAGAAACTTGTTCTGTGAGTGCCTTTTCCAATCTTTCTGCATCCCAATAAGCCATGAAGTGTGTAGAGTTTTTATTGAACAAGATGAGGAAAAAAGGAGTTAAGAGTGAAAAACCAAGTAAATAATCAAAATACCAGGCCAGTAGAGAGGCCACATTAACTGTGAGATTTGAAAGCTCCTGATGACTCGTTTTGGCACAGCAGCTGCAAACTAGGAGGTTGCAAAGCTTCCTGCCTTATAAAAATACTATCTGTCCTTATCTGACCTTCCTTTCCTTTCTGTTTGTGAAGGAAAGGTTAGGGGACTGCAGCATTCTCTCTTATTGCTAACCAGTCTATACATGTTGGCTTTTTCCAGCAAGTACCTTAAATGTTGTCGGCCTTGGGGCCAAGTGGGGAAGCCAGGTTAGTATCACTGATCCTGTCAGCCTGATGATGTTGATGGTTTCTGTGACTTTGTTGCCTTAGATCATTAGAGTAACTATGCAAGCTGCAGCCACATCTCAGCTGCTCATCATCCCAAAAGATACTCTCCAGACAAAAGCAGCTCTGAGTAAAGTAGCAGGAGGGGTCTAAATAATTTTGTCAGCCAGAAGAGTCAGTACAACTGCACACTTTATGCACAAGGCTCTACCTCCATCAGATCACAGCAGCACTAACAGCAATGCATTAAGAGCATCTGTCACTATGAGTTTCATCCAAAACCCCCTGAACCATCTGAAACAACTAAAGGTTTCTGGCCATAGCTATGTTCTATGATTAGCACTGACTAGATTGTCTGCCAGCTCCAATGTGTGTTAAATTTCTGTGCAGTGAATGTAGTGTTGGCAGATTGCTTTTCTGGGGATGACAGAAATCTGCCAAGGCTAAAGGATTTGAATCAAATACTCAGACACACAAGTTCAGAACACAGCCAATGAGGCCCCAGGAAGATAAAGATTCTAACATCACTTCTATACATCTGTGTTGTTGTTTTTTTCTGTGTTTTTTGATGCATGGTGACAAATGTGGATCAAGCTTGTATCAGCTAATGTCAGGCTTTTGTAATGCAAGATTATTCTGTGGCTACATTTTGAAAAGACGATTTATTTGGAGGAGGTTTTGGTGGTTGTTTTTTAACATGACCACTTGAGAACTGCCATAATATTGTGTTTAAACAGACAAATGTTCTAATAGCCATAGGGAAGAAATCTGTCAATTCTCTTTTTTTTTTTTTTACTTTTTTTTTCAAGTTCAGCATTAAAAATACTTGAACAGGGACTTAGTGGCTGAATAAGACTTTGACTGACTTTGAAGTCAGGAGGGAGCATATAGGTATGATGTGGTTTAGTGTAATCTGGCCTGTAGTCCAGATCACAAGACTTAGCAGAGTATAGCATTCGTAAGAAAACAACCAACTTTGGTTTATGATGGAATATACTATATATTCCATCCGTTATGAATACGCTAACAATGCAACCTGAAAGAAAAAAAAAAAAATGGAAAAAGCCACGAAAGATGCTTTTGGTGATTTCATGAAGGGTCAGGTAGATCCTAACCACATACATATATAAAGCCCAAGTATCTACTCACAGCAGCTAGTGTTAGAGCCCTGGTTGGCATCCTGCTCATGCTAAAGCCATCACATCAGGAATCATTGAACAGTTTGGGTTGGAAGGGACCTTAAAGGTCATCTAGTTGTTCTAGGAGTTGTTCTTCCAGCAGGTTTGCAGCTCAGCTCTGCTTCAGTCCAAAATCTATTGTGAAGAAAAGCTTCAGTGTCCAACCAGTCTGGCCAGATTTGTGCTGTTAATGACTTTTTTTTTCACACACTACTCTGTAAACAGTGAGTTATTATTGAAACCAATGTTTTCCAAAGATATGTTAAAACATTCTCTGCCTGTCCATAGGAGCCAATTCATCAGAAAAAAAAAAAAAAAAAAAAAAAAAAAAAAGCAGCTGCATAAAAATCGCTGAGAAGGTGATTCTACCGGTTGAATTACTAGAAATGGCAGCTAGATTTTTCCACTCAGAGACCATTTCCTGGCCTCTTACCCCACTGTATGTGGTGTGGCCAAATGTGCTGTGAAAGGAAGCGGTGCTTGATAAAATGAAACCTCTAAGGTCACACAGCACATTGAAAGATGCCAAGCTCCTTCTATCTGGCCCTGAACCAGGATGCGATAGGTTGAGTATCCTCTGTCAGGATCGAGTGATCATGAAGCCTATTGCCAAAAAGTCAAACTCTGTTCCCTGAAACTTTAGAGACAATCTTTTGAGTTTCCCTGGGCTGTACTGGGATTTCCCACAGCATTTCTCACAAATCTGACTTCTGTCAATTAAGAAGTTTAGACATACATGGTATAATTAGAGAGGAGTCTGAAAGACACAATTTACATGAAACCTGGTAATGTCCAGGTATGAACAGCTCAGAAGCTCCGAGTATGTTTCACCAGGGATCCAAATTTTACATTAGATGGTTCACTTCAGTTTGATTAAATCAAGGTAGCTGTACTGATTTCAGCATGCTGCAAATCTGGCTGGTATAACTGTGGTCCTGCTGAAAAGTTCTGTAAGGAGCCCAAGGGCCTCTGAGCAGCTTCCTGGAAGCTTCCTCTCCCCTCACCTATGGGAACCAGCTCCTGATAAGCTTTTAGTCTTGTCACAGCATTCCTGTCTTTTCTGT